TGTGTGAATAGTTTGTTTCTTGTGTGTGGTTAGTTCTGTTTCTGGCCTATGTGTGAATTGTTTGTTTCTGGTGTGTGGTTAGTTCTGTTTCTGGCCTATGTGTGAATAGTTTGTTTCTGGTGTGTGGTTAATTCTGTTTCTGGCCTATGTATGAATTGGTTTTTTCTGGTGTGTGGTTAGTTTTGTTTCTGGCCTATGTATGAATTGTTTGTTTCTGGTGTTTGGTTAGTTCTGTTTCTGGCCTATGTGTGAATTGTTTGTTTCTTGTGTTTGGTTAGTTCTGTTTCTGGCCTATGTGTGAATTGTTTGTTTCTGGTGTGTGGTTAGTTCTGTTTCTGGCCTATGTATGAATTGGTTGTTTCTGGTGTGTGGTTAGTTCTGTTTCTGGCCTATGTATGAATTGTTTGTTTCTGGTGTTTGGTTAGTTCTGTTTCTGGCCTATGTGTGAATTGTTTGTTTCTTGTGTTTGTTTAGTTCTGTTTCTGGCCTATGTGTGAATTGTTTGTTTCTGGTGTGTGGTTAGTTCTGTTTCTGGCCTATGTATGAATTGGTTGTTTCTGGTTTGTGGTAAGTTCTGTTTCTGGCTTATGTGTGAATTGTTTGTTTCTAGTGTGTGGTTATTTCTGTTTCTGACCTATGTATGAATTGGTTGTTTCTGGTCTGTGGTTATTTCTGTTTCTGGCGTTTATGTGAATTGTTTGTTTCTGGTGTGTGTAATTATACTGGTTGACGATATATAGGTTGTCATATTAGAATTATCAATGACTGTAAATATTTTTATTGTTGTGAAAGTTGCAGCAGGATACTCAGAAAGGTTTTGCAAAAAATTTTGTTCTAAATTGATATCATTATTTGCATACAGAATTTCATGACATTGCAATAGTTAATCTCACTTTTTTTTGTTAGTTGTATGGTCACCATTGGCAACAATAAATCCACACAAAAATCTCTGACTTATAGTAATAATTTCATTTCTATTTCTATTGTCTTTTGAATTCTAAACCAAAAGTCTTGCAACCTGGTCATTTTTGTCTTTGACCCATTTTACAATAGTTTAAATTGTTGTGTAAGAAAAGTTCCACTGTTATCTGGCTATTTCTATGGTAACTATATGACTCCCTTATCATTTGTTCAATTTGATAAATAGCTTAGGTAGGCCATACACGTCATGCTCATTTTGTAATTTTGTAATTTTGACTGCTTGTTATGTAGTTTTGTGGGATTAATGAACTTTCGGTAATATGTTCTATTTCTGACTTGATTTAATTACCATAATTTGGTAAAACTTTTTAAAAAAGCAATACTAGTAGAATGTGTATTGGGATCAATAAATGTATTAATTTCTTTCCTTTGATCTTTAATCTAATTCTCAGCACAGAGGTTGTTAACGATTATTAATTTTCTTAATTTATTAACTTAAGCTAGAGGTCAAATTACATGAAGAGTAAGTATAACTATATGTACCCCAAAAAAGACATAACAAAAAACCCATATTTATTATAAAAAGGGAAATTCAATATTTTCATGATATCTGAGTATTTTCTGCAATTACTTTTCTGTCAAGTTATCTAACAAAATATTTTAACAACAATGCACTCCCAGCCTTCTTCTTGAATAAATCAGCCTCAAGCTAAAAAATTAGGCACTCTGAATACTGGTGAAGGCAAATTCTTCTGATAACTTACAAAAGATGCAGGGTCAAGCAGGATACATTTAAAACTGAGTTAATGTCAAGTTTAAATGCTCAACTATTATTAACATGTTTATAAAGCTACATTGACATGCAAGATTATTGAGAAAATATAATATAAGGTATTTGTTAAGTATAAAGATAGTCAACTTTTATGAATTTAAGAATTTTCAAGCAAATCTATAAATAAAATGAATGCATATAAATGTTAATGAAGTGAGAATATTGAGCAAGGTGTTAGATTTCATATTCATTGAAAAAACAGTCTTAAAATTGTCCATTATAACCCTCCATTTAAACTTTTAAACACAGAATGATTTTTATTGCATACGATATAAGATGATTTAAAAAAAAGAATGAATATTATAAATGAATTATGGCAGCAAATGGATATTAAACGTACTTTGGTTACAGTAACATCTGTGTCATGACTAAATAATGGGTTCAAATACATTCTAATGTTATGTAATATTTGTTACAACTCATTTCTAACTCACTTGGCAAACTAAGACCCGCTGGATAGATATATTTAATTTAACTTAGGAAAAGAGTCAAACATTCATGGGGAGAAGAGTTCAACTTCAGGTCTCTTGACAGATACATGTATCAGACCTTACTGGGGATAAGAGTCAAACTTGGGTTATCTGGACAAATACCTAACCTACCTGGGGAGAGGAATCAAACTTGGGTTATCTGGACAAATACCTAACCTACCTGGGGAGACGAGTCAAACTTGGGTTATCTGGACAAATACCTAACCCTACCTGGGGAGAGGTGTCAAACTTGGGTTATCTGGACAAATACCTAACCTACCTGGGGAGAGGAGTCAAACTTGGGTTCTCTGGACAAATACCTAACCTACCTGGGGAGAGGTGTCAAACTTGGGTTATCTTGACAAATACCTAACCTACCTGGGGAGAGGAGTCAAACTTGGGTTCTCTGGACAAATACCTAACCTACTTGGGGAGAGGAGTCAAACTTGGGTTATCTGGACAAATACCTAACCTACCTGGGGAGAGGAGTCAAACTTGGGTTATCTGGACAAATACCTATACTACTTGGGGAGAGGAGTCAAACCTGGGTTCTGTGGACAAATACCTAACCTACTTGGGGAAAGGAGTCAATTTGGGGTTTTCTGGACAAATACCTTACCTATTTGGGGAGTGAAGTTAAACTTGGGTTCTCTGGACAAATACCTAACCTACTTGGGGAGAGGGGTCAAACTTGGGTAACTGGACAGATACCTAACCTACATAGGAAGAGGAGTCAAACTTAGGTTCCCTGGACAAATACCTAACCTACTTGGGGAGAGGAGTCAAACTTGGGTTATCTGGACAAATACCTAACCTACTTGGGGAGAGGAGTCAAACCTGGGTTCTCAGGACAAATGCCTAACCTACTTGGGGAGAGGAGTCAATTTTGGGTTTTCTGGACAAATACCTTATCTTCCTGAGGAGTGAAGTTAAACTTGGGTTCTCTGGACAAATACCTAACCTACTTGGGGAGAGGAGTCAAACTTGGGTTCTCTGGACAAATACCTAACCTACCTGGGGAGAGGAGTAAAACTTGGGTTATCTGGACAGATACCTAACCTACCTGGGGAGAGGAGTCAAACTTGGGTTCTCTGGACAAATACCTAACCTACCTGGGAAATGGAGGTAAACTTGGGTTCTCTGGACAGATACCCTACCTACATGAGGAGTGGAGTTAGTTTGGGTTCCCTGGACAGATACCTAACCTACACGAGGAGTGGAGTTAGTTTAGGTTCCCTGGCCAGATACCTAACCTACATGAGGAGTGGAGTTAGTTTGGGTTCCATGGCCAGATACCTAACCTACATGAGGAGTGGAGTAGAGAAGTCAAACTTGGGTTCGCTAAATAGATAACAAACCTTGTAAGTGAGTGGAGTAATACTTGATGTTTCTGGACAGACATCAAACCTAAGTTGGGAGAGGAGTAAAATTGGCTCTCTGGGCAGAAATTTAACATTATTTTGGAAGCGACTGATAGCACACTTTGATGAGTCAGATTTTGGCACTGTTGACATATTTCTGACTTTACTTTGGGAGGGAGTCAAACTTCGGGAGAGGGGAGGTTTTGGGGTCATATTAACATATATCTAACCTTTCTTGAGAGAGGATTCATCCTTGATATCTCTCAACAGATATCAAACCTTAATGGGGAATGGAGTTGAACTAAGATTTTCTGGATAGATATCTAACCTTAATGGTGAGAGGAGTTGAACTAATATTTTTCTGGATAGATATCTAACCTTAATTGGGAGAGGAGTTGATCTAAGGTGTTCTGGATAGATATCTAACCTTAATGGGGAGAGGAGTTGAACTAAGGTGTTCTGGATAGATATCTAACCTTAATGGGGAGAGGAGTTGAACTAGGATTTTTCTGGATAGATATCTAACCTTAATGGGAAGAGGAGTTGAAATTAAGTTTTCTGGATAGATATCTAACATTTAAGGGAGAGGAGTCAAACTTGGTATCTCTTGATAGACATTAAACCTTACTGAGAAGAGGAGTCAAACTTGGTATCTCTTGATAGATATCAGACCTTACTGAGAAGAGGAGTCAAACTTGGTATCTCTTGATAGATATCAGACCTTACTGAGAAGAGGAGTTAAACTTGGTATCTCTTGATAGATATCAGACCTTACTTGAGGACAGTAGTCAGTTTCGAGTCCATTGACAGATATATTTAACATTACTTATAAAATAAAGTCAAACTAAGGTTCTCATTAAAGTTGAGGATTCTTAAAAGACTAATGTAGCTGAAAGAGACTGTTAACCTAGACGATGCCCTTGTGTTTGGACTGGGTTCAAAATCTAGTTTTTAAGTAATTAGATATAAGAAGATGTGGTATGAGTGCCAATGAGACAACTCTCCATCCAAGTCACAATTTGTAAAAGTAAACCATTATAAGTCAAAGTACGGCCTTCAACACAGTGCCTTGGCTCACACCGAACAGCAAGGTCCATTTTTTAACATTTACAAAAGGGTTCTTTAAAAGTCCATATAGTATAGCATTCTCCCATCATATTATGTGGTAAGTGATCAGGCTTTCATTAAACTAATGCTATAGGTCCTCAAGGTCTCTATATATAAAAGTTAAGTGCATAGTTTAAGTTGATTTGATCACCTTCCTGTGACAAGATTTTAAAATATAACAGTTACAGCCATGTTCTTATATTACATGTACATTTTCCATTTTATCTTTGAAATGACAACATCTAATCACTATTTCATTAATTTTCCTCAAACCTTGCTGGACTTATGTATATATGCTATATATTTTAGGGGAAAATACAAATAAACCAGTGCCAGTGTTTCCATGGCATTCACTGGTTCCCTTTCTGACAAATACGGGACCTACCAGTGCAAAAATGGCTCCACCTATGGAACCAGTACATCAGCCAGCAGAGGCCCAGTTGAAAAGACTGTCACCTGCACCATCATCACAGAAGACCAATCAGAATGAACATCACCATAGTATATCTGAAGCAGGTATTAGATGGATGCTCCCTTAAGCAATAATATTAAATTGTTAATTCACAACAAAATTGTAAACCTCTTTGTATAAGATGTTTAGGTGCTGGCTTATAACAACCTGGTAACAATGATGCAATAAAATAAAATTATTTTACAACTAACTATGAACACCTCTATAAATGGGCAAGGGATCAATTGTTGTTGCCTTTGGCATATATATTTCTAAGGAGCAGTTCTTGCCACCCTCAGTGTAAATTTGCAGTTCTTGTAAGGTAAATATAGATTTGGATATGGAGCAGTTCTTGTAAGGTAAATATAAATTTGGCTATGAAGCAGTTCTTGCAAAACTTGAAGTAAATTAAATTAAGAAGATGTTATCGGAAATTTAAGTGTAATTTTGGATAGTGATCAGTTCTTGCAAAGCTTAGTGTAAATTAAAGGAGTATGGCTACAAAGGCATCAATTTGGCCCTTAAAATTGAACTTTGTAATGTCATATGTTAAAATCTATAGATATGAGTAAGCTAATCATAAGTGTAAAACTAGGTAGGGATTTGTTCCTGTCTACATAAGTGAAAAATTTGGTAGGGAGCAGTTCTTGCTAACATAAGTGTAAATTTGGGTGTGAGCAGTTCTTGCCCACATAAGTGTGAATTAGGGTAGAGAGTAGTTATTGACATAATTACACCTTATATAAGAATGCTGGATTTTGATTGGATGGTAGCCAGTGTATTTTTCGCATATTCTAACCTTTTTTTCTCATTTCAAACGAATTTGCATGTTTTTCACCATTGCCAGTGAATTTGCCTCAAATTCCCCTCTAAGCCGTGGTATTTGCCATTTTGGATATTCCTTTTTTCCCTCGCGGGCTTCTTCCCGCCAAAATCATTAGGATATGACGTTACATCAAGACAGCGCTAACGCGTATAAGTACATGTATAATTCCCGCGGTATTATGATAGTCTCTACTTATCCTCAAAATTATGCATAAACATGTTTATGGGTTACAGCTGACTAGTAAAAAAATATTTCCTTTCACCAGTACAGAGAGTTTCAATCAGAATCTATTTGGTGTAATTAAACAGATATATCATTGTTATTGAGGGGTATTTGCGAAAAATACCAGTCTTGGGACCAAATTTCCCTTGCCTAGCGGCTCGGGAAATTTAACAGTCCCTCGACTGGTATTTTTCGCGATTTCCCCTCCATAACATGATATATCTGTTCAAAATTCACTCTAAACGAAATTCCTCATCAAAAATGAATTCTTGAGGTTCTTTGATATGCTGAGTATAAACACGTATTTAGATTTTTGATTTTGGGCCCAGCTTTCAAGTTGGTCCAGAATTAAACTTTTGTTTGTTTTCAAAAAAAAATTGAATCTTTGGGTTCCTAGATATGCTGTATTTAACTGTATATTATGATTTTGAATTTTGGCCCATTTACAAATTGGTCCACATTGAGGTTCAAAGGGTCCAAAATTAAGCATTGTTTTATTTCATCAAAAATTGAAATATTGGGGTTCTTTGATATGTTGAATCTAACTTGTATTTAGAGTTTGGATATTGGACCATAATAGGTAAATGTTCAATTTCTAATTTTTATACGACCGCAAAAAAAATATGACAAATAATAATGATATGGTTTGAATAGGTAAATTAAAATTTTTTAAGTTCTTAGACCACATTCATTCTGTGTCAAATGTTTAATTACAATCCAAATTCAGTGCTGTATCAAGCTTGAATGTTGTGTCCATACTTGCCCCAACTGTTCAGGGTTCGACCTCTGCGGTCGTATCAAGCTTGCTCAGCAGAGCATTTTATTAAGTTCTTATACCACATTAATTCTGTGCCAGAAACCAATAATGTGTCAAATATTTAATCAATCCAAATTCAGAGCTGTATCAAGTTTGAATGTAGTGTCCATACTTGATCCAGCTGTTCAGGGTTCAACCTCTGCGATTGTATCAAGTTTGTGTCCTTCAGAGCATTTTATTTTATTTGGATTACTTTGCAGGTCCAGTTTTAGAAGAAGATGACAATGAAGACTATGATGACGATGTGTTTGATACCAACGAGAAACTTCCTGTACAGTCAGAATCACCACAGGCTGATGTCACAGACAAAGCAACAGGCAAAAAAGATAGTAAAGCAGTAGCTAAAAGAAGGACACAATCTCTCAGTGATTTGAAAAACAAAGATGAACCTAAAAGTCCTAGAAAAGTAAGGAGATTTCTCAATGCTTGTGTGACTACTGTCATGTGATCAAATGAATATGTTTGACTAATAGAACATGATCTTTTAAAATATTTGTATGACTTTTGTCACATGATTTTTTACAAGGATGTGAATATTTTTTATTGCTTTTGTCACATGATCTTAAGCAAGGCTGTGAATACTTTATAAGACTTTTCCCAACATATGAAAATGAGATTTAGTATGATTGCCAATGAGACAACTCTCCACCAGAGAACAAATGACATAGAAGTTAACAAAGTGTTATCACATGAGGATGTCTGTGTGGGTTTTGTTACATCCTGGACCATATAGTATCAAAGTGTTATCGCATGAGGATGTCTGTGTGGGTTTTGTTACATCCTGGACCATATAGTATCAAAGTGTTATCACATGAGGATGTCTGTGTGGGTTTTGTCACATGATTTTTTACAAGGATGTGAATATTTTTTATTGCTTTTGTCACATGATCTTAAGCAAGGCTGTGAATACTTTATAAGACTTTTCCCAACATATGAAAATGAGATTTAGTATGATTGCCAATGAGACAACTCTCCACCAGAGAACAAATGACATAGAAGTTAACAAAGTGTTATCACATGAGGATGTCTGTGTGGGTTTTGTTACATCCTGGACCATATAGTATCAAAGTGTTATCGCATGAGGATGTCTGTGTGGGTTTTGTTACATCCTGGACCATATAGTATCAAAGTGTTATCACATGAGGATGTCTGTGTGGGTTTTGTTACATCCTTGACCATATAGTATCAAAGTGTTATCACATGAGGATGTCTGTGTGGGTTTTGTTACATCCTGGACCATATAGTATCAAAGTGCTATCACATGAGGATGTCTGTGTGGGTTTTGTTACATCCAGGACCATATAGTATCAAAGTGTTATCACATGAGGATGTCTGTGTAGGTTTTGTTACATCCTTGACCATATAGTATCAAAGTGTTATCGCATGAGGATGTCTCTGTGGGTTTTGTTACATCCTGAACCATATAGTATCAAAGTGTTATCACATGAGGATGTCTGTGTGGGTTTTGTTACATCTTGGACCATATAGTATCAAAGTGTTATCACATAAGGATGTCTGTGTGGGTTTTGATACATCCAGGACCATATAGTATCAAAGTGTTGTCACATGAGATGTGGGTTTTGTTACATCCTTGACCATATAGTATCAAAGTGTTATCACATGAGATGTGGGTTTTGTTACATCCAGGACCATATAGTATCAAAGTGTTGTCACATGAGGATGTCTGTGTGGGTTTTGTTACATCCTGGACCATATAGTATCAAAGTGTTATCACATGAGGATGTCTGTGTGGGTTTTGTTACATCCTTGACCATATAGTATCCAAGTGTTATCACATGAGGATGTCTGTGTGGGTTTTGATACATCCTTGACCATATAGTATCAAAGTGTTATCACATGAGATGTGGGTTTTGTTACATCCTTGACCATATAGTATCAAAGTGTTGTCACATGAGATGTGGGTTTTGTTACATCCTGGACCATATAGTATCCAAGTGTTATCACATGAGGATGTCTGTGTGGGTTTTGATACATCCTTGACCATATAGTATCAAAGTGTTATCACATGAGATGTGGGTTTTGTTACATCCTGGACCATATAGTATCCAAGTGTTATCACATGAGGATGTCTGTGTGGGTTTTGTTACATGATCATTCTATATTAATGGAAATTAAGTTCTATTATTTCAAAAAGGTTTGACTGCATGAACTCTTTTTACCATACATTTTTATATGAAATAAGGAGATGTGATATGAATGTCAATGAGACAGAGTTCAAATGATGGGGATGTAGTCCAGTTTCATTAATGTTAGTTCAGTACTACTTTGTAGGTATCTGTTGGTAACTTTAATGTTACACAAATTTACTAAACATACTAAAGGAATGTGTAAATTTTCAGTTCCCAGAAAATACAACTTTTTTTTAATCCATGTAAATTCTGTGAAAAATTAGTTAAAACAGCAGTAATGCAGTATCATATTTGTCTTCATTAAGTAAAACCTGTAAAATCGAAATAATGTTTTATAGACAAAAGACAAAGACCACATCAGAAGACCAATGAATGCCTTTATGATATTTAGCAAGCGTCACCGACATTTAGTACATCAGAGACACCCTAATCAAGACAACAGAACTGTTAGTAAAATTCTGGGAGAGTGGTGGTATGCCTTAGGACCAAAAGAGAAACAGAAATACCATGATCTAGCTTATCAGGTAACAATCCTCCATCAAATTTAGGTTTTGTCCAAAAACCGAAAGAGAGTAAATTTATTGGCAATATAGAAATGATTGTTGGTAGACTACAGAAAAAAAATGGAGATAAAATGAGTATTGCCCTTTTATGTTAATAAATTCTGTTTGAAATCAATTATAGAAGATGAAATTATTGTGTAAGAAAGCATAATTTAAAAATCAGCAAATTTTTCAATTACTTTGAGCATGTGTTGTATATTTTTTTTGCAAGCATTGTTATATAAAGTTTTACTCAGTATTTTGTCTAATTAACTTGTATTTTTCCAACAGTAAGACTGAAAATGTTAAAAGCTTATTCCTTCTATATGCCTTGTGTTATTCCATCGGTAGTAATAGAAAGGGGGAGATTGAGTTTAATAAAAAATACTGTTTTACACACCCCACTCTTTTTTTTTTATTTCCTGTATGTTCCCCCAAAAATATATCAAAAAGTAACAAACAGTTTTTATCTTGTCTCAACTCAGATATTAATTAATTTTACAGTCAGTTCAGTCAAAGTGGCTAATTTCAAAGGTATGCCAGATGTAGGTCTATTTTACAGTTTTATTCTACAAAAAGCCTGCCTTAACCACAGCAAAAAGGGCTTATTTCAAAGGTCTCCAATATATAGTCTCTTGATTAATTTCCTTGTATAATCTTATTACAATCTATAGGTGAAAGAGGCCCACTTCAAAGCCCATCCAGACTGGAAGTGGTGTTCAAGGGAGCGTAAGAAGTCCAGTACCATTGCTGAGAAATTAAAACAGCGTAGTAGTACAAGTCGTATTGATGATGATGTCTTTGAAGAAGGTAGATATCTTCTTATAAATAACATGAACAGTATTGTATGCATCAGTGAGGTTAAAATCGAGTCCAACGATACACAGTATTTTGTAAAATATATTCAGCTTTCAAATTGCCCAAAGTTAAAAAAGTTGTAAATAAATTGAATGCTTTGAAAATTTCTTCAATTTATGTATGCATCTGTTTTACAATTTCTAGTTGAAAGAGGGTTTAATATGGGACATGAACATGTAACAGACTGTTTCATTGCTGTTATACATTCCTTTATTAGCTCACCTGGCCCAAAGGGCCAAGTGAGCTTTTCTCATCACTTGGCGTCCGGCGTCATCCGTCGTCGTTAACTTTTACAAAAATCTTCTCCTCTGAAACTACTTTGCCAAATTAAACCAAACTTGTCCACAATCATCATTGGGGTATCTAGTTTAAAAAATGTGTACGGTGAATGGCCAACCAACCAAGATGGCCACCATGGCTAAAAATAGAACATAGGGGTAAAATGTAGATTTTGGCTTATATCTCTGAAACCAAAGCATTTAGAGCAAATCTGACAAGGGGTAAAATTGTTTATCAGGTCAAGATCTATCTGCCCTGAAATTTCAGATGAATCTGACAACCCGTTGTTGGGTTGCTGCCCCTGAATTGGTAATTTTAAGGAAATTTTGCCGTTTTTGGTTATTATCTTGAATATTGTTATAGATAGAGATAAACTGTAAACAGCAATAATGTTCAGCAAAGTAAGATTTACAAATAAGTCGACATGACCAAAATGGTCAATTGACCCCTTAATTTTTAACCATTTTTCTTAAATTTTTGTAATCTTTTACAAAAATCTTCTCTGATGAAACTACTAAGTCAAATTTAACCAAACTTGTCCAAAATCATCATTAGGGTATCTAGTTTAAAAAATATGTCCGATGACCCCGCCCGCGAACCAAGATGGCCGACATGGCTAAAAAATAGTACATAGGGTAAAATGCAGTTTTTGGCTCATATCTCTGAAACCAAAGCATTTAGAGCAGATCTATCTGCCCTGAAATTTTCAGACCAATCAGGCAACACGTTGTTGGGTTGCTGCCCCTGAATTGGTAATTTTAAGGAAATTTTGCTGTTTTTGGTTATTATCTTGAATAGTATTATAGATAGGGATAAACTGTAAACAGCAATAATGTACAGCAAAGTAAGATCTACAAATAAGTCGACATGACCAAAATTGTCAATTGACCCCTTAAGGAGTTATTGCCCTTTATAGTCAATTTTTTACAATTTTCATAAATTTTGTAAATTTTTGTAAATTTTTACAAAATATTTTCCACTGTAACTACTGGGCCAAGTTCATTATAGATAGAGATAATTGTAAGCAGCAAGAATGTTCAGTAAAGTAAGATCTACAAACACATCACCATCACCAAAACACAATTTTGTCATGAATCCATCTGTGTCCTTTGTTTAATATGCACATATACCAAGGTGAGCGACACAGGCTCTTTAGAGCCTCTAGTTAGAGTATGCTGACTTAATGCTTTAGTTTAACCAAATTCATTAGTTGACATTGATGCATATTTCTGGAGTGACCTGTAGTTAGTACACTAACAACCATCATCAATTCATTTCAGACATTATTTTCACTTAATCAGTTATTAAGTTAGATTTCACTTACAATATCAATTTATTAGTCAGTATATTATTGAGTCCAAAATTCTAAAATTTATGTAATAAAGAAATGAAAAATCTAAATATCAACTAACTGTTGAGCATTATAAAATCTGTATTTTATTAAATTTGCTGTTAAATCTCTTGGAATATTTAAACCAATATCATTATATGGCTGAACATTGAAGGTCTTTCCTGAGTAAAGAAAAGAAAGCACAAAAGGTGACTGGTTGAATGACATGCTCAACAGAGTCATGAGAGTTGGGGTATATAGGAATGCATATTGCTGTCTGTACATCCATCACACTTTTGGTTTCCTTGTGAAAAATAGAGAACCACTTTTTGAAACTGACTGGAATTTTAATGGAATGTTTTGGCCCACTTAACACAGGTTAAGTTTGATATTGTTGTTTTCACTGTTACCATCCCAGAGGTATGGTACTTAAATTTGTTTTAAAAAAATTAAAATTTTGTGGTTTCAGGATAATAAATTGAAAACCTCTTTATGAAATGGATTTCAATTTAATGGAATGCTTTAGACCACTTAACACAAAATAAGTTTGATTTTTTTTTTCATTTTCTTATTTACCTTTCCAGAGTTATTGTCCTTGATTGTTGGAAAAATTCCAAATTTTATGGTTTCTGGATGATTAGTTTGATTTTCTTCATTTTTACTTTTACCATTCCAGAGAGTTGGAAAATTAAAAAAAATTTAGGTTCCAGTTAATACATGGATTAGTCTTTTTTGAAATTGATTGAAATTTTAATTGCACATTTTGGACCACTTAAAAAAATCCTGATCTCTCAGTTCCTGTGGGCAGGGTATCTGTGATCACTTGATTACCTCTCTAGTTTACACACGCAGTGAAACCTGTCTTAACTAGGCTTTAAGGACAGAAACCTCGACCCTTTAAATAATTGATGTAAAATTCCCTTAACAATGTCAATCATTGACCACTTATTTGAATAAAAGAAGCAATAAAGAAATTAAACTAGCAGTCAAAGGAAAAAATCTACTCCAGTGATGGAAGAGATGGGAACAAGAGTTATTGCTGTGTTTTGTTTCACCACTTGTTTGAAAATTTCTGCATCATAATATTACCAAAAATCAAAACCTCAACAGATTTATGTAGATCTTTTTGAAAGGACCTTATATATAAATTGTCCTTGGACATCTGGTAAATGAAAACAAACCAGACTTGCCAGATTATCACACGACTAATTGTGAATCGATAAGGGAAAATTTAAAAAAAAAAAGTTACTAAGAAAAATGTAATTCAAAAATAGCAGCCTGAAAACCTGGAGATTGCAAAGGATAATTTCCACTATTAGCTGTATTGCTTGTGCAGAACTTAAGCTAACCCTAAACAAATTTAAAAGCTTTAACATTTACATATATCCACATTTTGCAGAAGAGACTGTAGAAGGTTTACCTGATGTAGACATGGCAGAGGATGAAGATCTCAATAAAGAATTATCATTGTTTGAAATAAAAAGGGGAAGATCGCAGAGTTTATCAGCAGTGCCACAGGATGGAGATACAAGATCAGCATTCTTTCCTGCTAGTCAGACTGGAGAGGACAGACAGAAATTTGCTGAGGTAAAATAATAAATGGGGGAGATATAAAAACAGTTGTTTGAGTTAATTCATTGTTTCCCCTTAGTCAGACTGGACAGGTCAGACAGAAATTTGCTCAGGGCTATTCCAGAAAAAAATGTATGGGGGGGTTGGAAGGCAGTTTTTGTCAGCACCCACAACCCAGACAATTGTAATGGAGAATCATAGTGCATTATAGTGTGAAAAGTTGCTCTGATACCCATCACCCATGTATTATTAATATATAGTGCCTTCCAACCCCCCCATACATTTTTTTCTGGAATAGCCCTCAGGTAAATAATATAAGATGGAGATCTCTAAATAAATATAATCAGTTGTCAATTAAGCTACTGTATTCTACCTGCCAAGTCAGACAGAGAAACTGGACAGAAATCTGCTATGGTAAATAATTTAAAGGGAAGATCCCAAAGATAGAATTTAGTTCTTTGAGAGGGAAGATCTCAAAATATAGTTTGTATTTCTTGGGTTAATGCATTCATCCTGCCTGCTCAAATGACAGAAGACAGACATAGATTTGCTGATTTGAATATTACAAAGGAGAGACCTCAAAATATAATTTCTAATTCTTAGATTTGGAAACCTCTCACAAACATCCATATTATAGCTGGATCATGTTATAGTTCAGTCTATAGTTTCAGTGTCATAATTGACTCGAGTCAGAAAAATATACTTATCTTTGACAGGCATTGAAAAGACAGTTGTCTCAAACATTTGGGGAACAGGATTACCATCAATCTGAGGATGCCTGTCATCCTCCTCAACCAATGATGCAGCCACAACACCTACCTAGGCCACGCCCACGGTACCAGTCCGTTACCAGACAACAGGATCAAGAGGAACCAGTCAGTGATGATGAAAGAATGGTGATAGATGAATCGAACAAAGAGGGTAATTTCCCTCAATCTTCTACTTTATGGTTAAATATTATATTAAGATACAGTTTAGATAACTGAATTAGATAATCAATGAAGTTTACACAAGTATTACTTTAATGACTGTTGTATGCATAAAATTTGAATTATTTTGAAAAGAAAAGAACCTAACCTGAAATCTTGAGCTTGACTTCTATTAACTGTAGATCTCTTATCAGCCTTGTTCTGATTCTACATTGAATAGTTGCTACTGGACATTTTTTAACAACAATTAATCAAGATGGTTTTATTATATTGTTTACTTGCTGTCTGATTAAAATTGACTAGACCATATTACTTATTTAATCCCATAGAAAAAGTGAATGATGTGGGGTGATTTAGATCAACAAGAATATTTTTGAGTCTCCTGGATATATATTATTATTGAAAAAAATACTTTGTGTTCTTATCTTCCTATCATGATAAATATATTAAAAGAGATTTGGTTGGATTGCCAATGAGACAACCATCCACCAGAGACCATATGATCTGGATAATAAAAACCATAAAAATAAAGAACATTAAATTACTTAACTGAAATGAAAAATTGTATGTTCTTTACAGCTGAAGGCAATGAAAGTGAGAATGAGGCTAGTGACCTAATTTGCAAGGAGCATGTGTCTGATAGTGAAACTGACAGTCAAACAGAAGAAGACAACCTCATTGAAAACAAAGCGTTTCCACAGCAACGATTTTCACCTGTTAAACATATCAATCCCGCAGACATCACATACCGTCCGACTCCTATACGCAAAATACCTGAATCTCCGGTCAAAACACCAACAAGATCAGTGGGTAATGTGGAAGTGGATCAACTAATTCCACGTCCTTCAAGTGTTGGATCTAGTTTTCAACCAACAGGGGCAGTTTTCCGTGCCAAAGTTAAACCCAATCGTAATATGTCTATTGGTAGTATGCAGGAATTAAAGCAAAACTCGCGCATTCAAATTACCCAGCATCCAACTGTCAAAATGGGGCAGATGAAAATTCATAATATAACAATGACAACAAAGCCTAATGAACAAATCTTAATGTCTTCTAATACAGAAACAATACTTGGTGATCAAAATGGGCAGGGAGCAATGATGAGAAAAACATCGCAAAAAATGAGAGGAAAACCTGCTCCCATACATCAGAATGTGTCCATGGGTGTCAACAGTGGTAATATGTTCCCTGTTACCTCCAGTAATATACAAATCGTTAATTCTAACCAGACGTATATAACTAATGCTCATTATGCCATCAGTACAGTAGCCTCTACTTTTTCCACTATGGGTAAACCCATTTCAACTCCTGTACCAATAGCCTCGAAGCCTATTGTGTCAATGCAGCAGGGTGCCATGTTAAAACCTACAACCCTACCTGGGATGAATCTTCAGCAACAGCAAGCTCTATATCAAAATTCACAGAACAATGGTACGATTGTCTTACAGCCTTCCAATCAGCAGTATGGCATGACCATCCTGAACTCTGCAATGCCTAAAACATCGGCTATTCAGACCAGTATGGGAGGAGGTTATATCACAACTTTACGTAACATTGCTCCTCCACAGAACCACCTAGCCCAACAGCCACACACACCTACACATAGTGTAGCTCCACAGACTGTTTTAACAAATGTTGTACTTAAAACAACTCAGCAACAGATGGCAGCACCTCTGACTGTGCAGACATCTCAGTATCAACAACACCAGGCATTTACTCAGGCAAATCTACAGCCAGCACAACTTCAATATATCCTGCCGTCAGTCAGGGTGGCTCCTTCTAGTGGAGGCAAAGTTCAGAATATTTTACAAATGGCTCTGCCAGGGACACCAGTACAGCAAAGTAACATTCAGTTAACCTTTACAGGGAACCAGTCACCACTTCCTCAACATTCACCATCCCCACATTCAGCACAGACTGGTAAATTTCAAATTGCATCAGGAACGACAGGATTGAGATTAGTAGGACAGCAAGGAAAAGTTTATCAACAGGCAAATCTCATGTCTCCAAATCCTAATCTAAATTCACCTATCTTACTGAATACCATGGCCAATAAACAGCAGACAGTTCTCACACAGTTCCCAGCTCTTAATCAAGGTGTTGCTAATGTAATGGCCACGCCCTTGACAACAGTATCCTTAGCTCAGCCAGTAGTCTCTCTTGGGGCTCTTCAACAACAGCAGGCACTACATACACATCAGTCCTTACCGACACATATACAGATACAGCAAGGAACCCAACAACAAATATTCCAGCAGCCAACAACACCACAGAAAATACTGTTAACTTCTACTCCTAAGTAAGTATTCCAGCACCTTGTGTCTTTTACATCTTTTCTGTTTTTTTGTTTTGTTTGTTGGGTTGCATTTTCATTAAGTAACCACACATCTTTCACTAATCTTAAGTACTTCAAATTTGTAGTATACTAAAATCTACTTTTTTTCTGTTTTTTTTCTTTACCATTATTCTTCAAATATTTTTTCACAAAATTGTTTCTTGTAGACCTGTCAAGTCTTAGACTTTCTGTTTCCTTCAAATTTACAAAATGAAATATATTGTAACAAGTTTTTTTTAAAGTCATTGTTATTCTGTTTTCAGGTCACATGATACTGTACAAACAATAAACAATGTAACCATGGTAGCAGGATCCCCATCTCCAGTATCTAAGAGTATTAGTTCTCCTGCATATGCATATGTTGGTTCTATACAACAAGGTGAGTCACATTATACACTACAAACAATAAATAATGTTATAAAAATAAGGATGATATAATTGCCAATGAGACAACAGAGTTCAAATCACATGGATGTTAGCAATTGTAGGTCACCATACTACCTTTGGTAAGAAGGAGCCAAAGAAACATCACTTTCCAAAAAGGGAAAAATTAACCATTGGAATGAAGAATTGCCTCTTTTTTCATAAATTTATGCATATAGCTTCCTGTGTAAAACTAAAATATCCATGGTAATGGGAATCTCTATCGTATCTAAGAGTGTAAGCAGCTTCCTCTGAATCATGTTGGTTAAACCTAATCTTTGGGTCACTGGTCCTAGTCACAGAGATTACTTCATTTGACAAAAATTATCAGCAGACTTTACAGTCTTCAAAACACAAAAAAAACAAAAACTGTACACTACATACAAAAACCGCATTCTAATTTCTACTACAGATCCTTGAAGGTAGCTACTTTACATATCATATGTTATTTATCAGGGTTTTTTAATAATATGTTTTTATTTGTGTTATTATGTGTGAGGTATTGATCAAATTTTTAGCTCACCTGGCTCACCCGTCGTCGTCCGGCATTGTCTGTTAACTTTTACAAAAATCTTCTCCTCTGAAACTACTGGGTCAAATTTAACCAACCAAGATGGCCGCCATGGCTAAAAATAGAACATAGGGGTAAAATGTAGATTTTGGCTTATATCTCTGAAACCAAAGCATTTAGAGCAAATCTGACGGGGTAAAATTGTTTATCAGGTCAAGATCTATCTGCCCTGAAATTTTCAGATGAATCGGAGAACCTGTTGTTGGGTTGCTGTCACTAAATTGGTAATTTTAAGAAAATTTTGCAGTTTTTGGTTATTATTTTGAATATTATTATAGATAGAGATAAACTGTAAACATCATAATGTTCAGCAAAGTAAGATCTACAAATAAGTCAACATGACCAAAATTGTCAATTGACCCCTTAAGGAGTTATTGCCCTTTATAGTCAATTTTTTACAATTTTCATAAATTTTGTAAATTTTTGTAAATTTTTACAAAATATTTTCCACTGTAACTACTGGGCCAAGTTCATTATAGATAGAGATAATTGTAAGCAGCAAGAATGTTCAGTAAAGTAAGATCTACAAACACATCACCATTACCAAAACACAATTTTGTCATGAATCCATCAGTGTCCTTTGCTTAATATGCACATAGACCAAGGTGAGCGACACAGGCTCTTTAGAGCCTCTAGTTTTTATAGGATTCAGCAAGTTTCCTTAAAACCAATAGTAAATAAATGTATTGAGTGGTAAGGGCTATTCCATTAAAATGTATGTGGGAGGGTAGGAAGGAAAGTTTAATTATTGAATGTGGGTCATGGGTCTTTTTTCAGTATGCATCTATTACCATTATGCAAAATTATCTAAAAAATGGTTCTTGGTTGTAGGGATATTTTGAAAGTCACTTCCTACCCTCCCACATACATTTTAATGGAATAGCCCTAACTTAAAAAAATGTATTGCATACTTAGATCTATTACATTTTAAAGATCTTTCCGTTTACAGGTTCACAAGGAGCAGTGCAACAAGTTTTGATACAACCTCAGGCAACAAGATCAACGGCACCAAGTCCAGGGGTTAGCCAACATAATATAGCCCCCAAACCTATGACACAACAAACAGTTCAAAGTCCACCTCAGAGTCAATATCAAGGTATATATATAGAGTAACAAGCTATTCTTGCAAACAATTTTATTATTTCTGAATTTTTTAATCATTGACAATGATTGAGTCAGCAAAATAATCTAAAATTAGCATTATGAGAAATTACAAAACAATTATTAAATTAAGTTTTCCTCACCTTTTAGAACTTTTTCTTCTTATGTCAATTTTACATGATTTTAACTCTTAGCAATACTTATACAAGAATAGATCATGACATATGTAAACAAAAGTAGGATTAATAACCTTACAAGTCCATAGCTGTATTGATGTCCTTGGTGACTTCTTGTAGGTTGTGAGCACATAACTTTAATAAATATATTTATAGAGAGCTGGCTTTGTGGATATTTTTTTTTTAGTAAAACCCTTCATAGATCCACAGAATTATATATAATTCAGTGATTAATAATTTTGCAATACTGTAAAAGTATAAATCGCAAAAACTACACACCAATAATTTTACTTTAGAAAACCAAGAAATTGGAATAGGTAAATAAAAGAATTGCAGTGGTATTCTTTATCTATTTAATTCATTAGAGTGTCACATGATATAGAAGTCATGGGTTAAGCAACACATGTTACTAGGAAAACTTTAAACAACACTTTAAATGAAATATGGTGCATTATATGAAAGTTTTATTTTATCAACATATCTATGATTAAAGGGTTCTAGAGAATATGTTTGAATACTTGTAATTAATACAAATGATAGTTAGGAATCTTTATATTAAATCTTGTTTTTCCAGGGACTTTTAAGTCACCAAATTCAATGACCACTGAGGCCAAAGGTGACATAGGTTACATTTCAGGTGGTAATCAGAAATCTCACAAGATAAAGGCCACCATTGCCACTATACCTGTTGCCACAGAAAGTTTACAAGTGACCACAACCATTCCAGGTTTGTTTTTGTGTGTGTATTAGAGAGTGAAATAAGGTATACGTCTACCATACCTACCTACCTAGTCCTTATTATGCCCAGAGGCACATAGGGCAAGGACTAGATATACATCTACCATACCTACCTACCTAGTCCTTATTATGCCCGGAGGCACATAGGACAAGGACTAGATATACGTCTACCATACCTACCTACCTAGTCCTTATTATGCCCGGAGGCACATAGGGCAAGGACTAGATATACATCTACCATATCAAGCACAAATGACAAAAAATAAGAAATGTAATTGCCACTTAACAGATAACGTGAGGGTACCCAAATTGCACCTATTTTGACAGTTTTTTCACCTACGTTTATTTATAATCCATTCTGGGTTTATTTTGCAGATGTATCCTTATTTACTATATAGTTGCACCAATTTAATTTTGAATCCATATTGAATCATAGAAAAATGGGTTTGAACCGACCTCCAAACGATCCATGATTCTGTAATGAGGAGTACCCAAATTGCATCCATCCTTAAAAATCGTATAACAGATGTTTTGTTTATTTCTTCAAATATTTAGAACAATTTGTCATTAGTCCATGCTTACTATTCATTTTTTAAGAAATGGATGCTTTTAACATATTTTATTTTCTCATTTTTAAAAGATGACTTTTTGTGGACGTTGCATGGCGACGTTTCCATAGATTTTACTTTTCCCAGTGAATACTTCATCTGTTGTATATACTGTGAAAGTGGTGTGCATATCTACATATATCTAGCTATGTTGAAAGACGTGCATAATGTCAAATCATAAAAATACAAATTGTTTAGTCTCTAAAAAAACTTGTAATTAAAGACTACAAATACTGTAAATTCAGAAATTAGGTTTTTATCATTGCGAATAATGAGATTGGTTGAGTATCGCAATATTAAGTACTCACATTCTGATATCTGATACATATATCTGTATGCAAATTTTCCTGAAATCGCAATAATTGATGTCGCATTATTGTCCATTCTTCAAGAATTGCAATGATAAATGCATGCAATGATTTCTAGAGTTACAGTAACTAAAATACATTGATGTGCAAACTCAAGCCTCTCATTAAAAAATTTGGAACATTAATCAGTTTGTGAGTGAAAGATGGGGGGTGGGGGGTTTACATGTTTAGATGTCAATCATTCCTTCAAGATTTTATTTCAACAAAGATTATTACTACAAATATATTTTCATCATCAATATGTAGATAAACATATCAAATTGATAAGAAAGATTTATCTTCAATCTTAGTATAAATGCAACAGGGTTGTTGGGTAGATAATTAAATCATATAAGGGTTATTCACCTTGAGGGTCTGTAAGGCATAACTTCTAACCCTATCCAATGTGCCCTCTTTTTCCAGTGACGGTGTAAAATTTCTATCCTTTATTCCTGGTTAACCATCTTTTCAAGACCTATCAATTTTGTTTATTGTTTTTTCTCATTCTGAATTTGTATGAAGTATTTGCAATTAGTTATTAAGCAAGCAACTATTAATCCTTTCATAAATGTTTAATGAACCTTTTCATGAATTTCAAATAATCCTGAATGTACATTATTTTTAGTACTATATATGTAAAGACAAGACAGTGTACAAAGGGAAATAACTCTTATTTATTTAACAGACATAACAAGTCTTAACTATTATATCTATCTGAATAATACTAGTACATTTATAGTGTATGTTTGAAATGTATAAATCCAATTAAACTGAATAATACACCATGTGTATTATTTGTTTACAGCATCACGGATGAATTCACATGTACAGAGTCCAAGGCTCTCACCTGTCCAGCAGTATGGTAGACCACAGCAGTATGGCATGCAGCATAAACCAACAAGACCTTCACCTCTTGTCCTGACCTCTGAACCTTCAGAGGTCAGAGATCAGAGCTATGATAAAAAAGAAGAGTTAATTCAAAATTCAGATGTAAAGCCACAGAGGGCATGTAAAGGAAAGAAATACAAAGAACTTGTTGAACAAGGTGGCATAAGGAAAGAGAGAAAAGTAAGTTTTAGAAACAAAAAGGTTCTGTAGACTAAGGTTTCTTATGAAGAAAGGAAACCATAAGTCAGAGATGATATAAAGGAAGGAAGTTCTCGGGCACTTTTACAGTGGGTTGCATACAGAGAAAACTGAATGTAGGTCATTGTATCTGATTATTAGGATTTGGCACTCGAGTTTAGTTTCTTCTGTTTTTGGATTCTGTAGATTTCCATGGGACGATAAGATAACATGAAAACATATACATAAAGGTAAAACAATTCATGCAAAGTTGATATCAGAAACAAGATGGCAGGCATATTTTTATGCCCCGCCATAGCGGAGGGGGCATTAATTTTACCCTTGTCCGTCCGTCTGTCCCGAAATTGGTTTCCGTTCTCTAACTTTAGTTTGCCTCAACCAAATGTTATGAAACTTATACACAATGCTTATTACCACAATACACAGATCAAGTTTGAATTTTGGTGGAGTACTTTTACCGTTCTTGAGTTATGCCCCTTTACAAATGGAAAAATTGCTGAATTTTCATTTCCGTTCTCTAATTTAAGTTTGCCTCAATCAAATGTTATGAAACTTATACACAATGCTTATTACCAGGAAACACAGATCAAATATAAATTTCGGTAGCGTCACTTTTACCATTCTAGAGTTATGCCCTTGATAAATGGAAAAATTGCTGAATTTTTCGTTTCCGTTCTCTAACTTTAGTTTGCCTCAACTAAACATTATGAATCTTATACACAATGCTTATTACCACAAAACACAGATCAAGTTTGAATTTTGGTGGTGTCACTTTTACCGTTCTAGAGTTATGCCCCTTTACAATTTCCGTTCTCTAACTTTAATTTGCCTCAACCAAATGTTATGAAACTTATACACAATGCTTATTACCACAAAACTCAGATCAAGTACGAATTTGGGTAGCGTCACTTTTACCGTTCTTGAGTTATTCCCTTTATAACGTTACATGCAAGCCGGGGCATCATCTATGTCCCATGGACACATTCCCCATTTATTAAAAAATAATCTTTAATGATAAAAATTTCAAAGCTTTAAAGATTTGCAATTACATGTTTTTAAAAGCATTTAAAAAGCATTAAAAGGTAAGAAAAATGAAGAATAATGTATTTATCTACAACAGGTACATTTGCAAGCATCTCCATTTCAATTTAAAATCAAATTTCTAGCATTGACAGTTGATTGAATTTATGTCTGGTTTATATTGACCACATAGTTATGTGTATACTGTTTATTTCATGTTGTACTACAGAATTTTCTTACTGATGACTCCATTGATTATAGTAGTGTAAAATGCTGTTGTTAGCTGTGCCTTTAACCTTACCAATTAAACTCAATTCACAACTAAAACATCTGACCCTTAGATGCTCTTGTTAATTATTCCTATTCATAAGGATACACTTACTACATTTAAGGGGTCTACCAAGATATATATGTATTAAATTAGAGATGTTGTTTTTTTCCAGTCATCTAAGGGCAGTACTGATTCGAGTGAGGAGAAATCTCCTACACAGATGAAGCCTCTACAAGATCCTCCTGATCCTGCCTCTCTACTGACAGATCAAACCTCTGAGCCTACAACAACAAGTGAAACAAAGACTGTAACATTTAGTACTTCTCCTAGTATATGTATGCCTGCTCCACTCACAACGACCATGCCAACAGCTGCAGACGGCAAGCCTCCGGAAAGCCCAAGGGTAATTTATAACAGTTTTCCACAAAAAATTGATGGACCATATTTGATATTTGAATTACAGCAGCATTTAATTTACTGTATTTATTTAAATTTATGAATAGATTGTAACATTAGGCCAGTATCAAAAATTCTTCTTAAGTTAGTTTATTATCAAGTGATATCAATGAAGTCAAAGATTCATTTCTAGTGAGCTTTGTATGATTAAAAAGACTTTATAGTAAGGACAAGATTCATTACAGGCCTTATTTGGCTTAATTTTCATTGAAATTAGAAATTTTGATTTTATGTTTATTTTAAAGTTATGAGGTAATTAAAAAGATAACTTGATGTGCATATTACATGTTATAATTTCTATTTCAGAAGACAAAGATCAAGCCACCACCATTACCTGTCAATGTTTTACAGTGTGCCTCATCAATACAGTCCCCAAGCAGTACCAATAGTCCAAGGAGGGTAACATTCAAAAAGTCAGTGCTAGATGGCATGGAAAAGTAAGCTTCCATCGTTGTCTGTATAAACTTTTTGTTGTATTATGTGTTTTTATTTATAAAATAAGATTTTGGGTATATGTTAATGAGACAGCAATCCAACAACACACAGCTAGAGGGCAACATCCAGTCTTCATCATTAGACAAGAGTCTATCAAATATGTCCAACTCTAAATAACTCGTAAGTCTATAAATTAGTTGTGAATAAATCATAGAAACACTCACCTACACCAAATTCTTCATATAATACAAAATAGTAAGATATGACGACAACCATGGATGAGGATGATTGTATAACAATATAAAAAATTAAGAAGATAAGGTATTATTGCCAATGAGACAACTCTCCACCTGAGACTATATGACGTCAATTACTTACTACAGATTATGTTGGAGAAATGTTATCTATTTCTATGGAATACTTCTATTTATATCAATGTTGGAGAAATGGTATCTATTTCTATGAAGTACTTCTATTTACTGTAAACCGGGAAATTATTGCGGTAAGAGTTGAAACACGAAAATAAAACGATCGTGAAAATTTCAAGGAAACTCTATTCATAAGATGAAGGCCATTCATGTACGTATATGTATAGGACCACTGTATAACACCAAGTTTAAATAAGATAGATCTATTCCTTAAATCATAACTTTATTTCTAAATGAAAAGCAATGATAGAAATCCTGACTTTTACTCAAGTTAATCTTTTAAAACCAAGCAAGCGGACAATACGGATATTGTTTTGTAAACAACAATCGCTACAGATATGTAAATGACACCTGTCAATCAGTTTTTAAAATTATTACTTCATTGTATCTGCTACACAGATAAATCAGATTAAAAGTTCGATTAAATAGCATTAATCTTGACAGCATTTAATTCACTCTTAATTAGGTCTTCTTTACTGTTTATTGTGTATGTGTTTTTACAAGCAAACATAATCTCCTTTAACATTAATGAACCGAAAACAAAAGATTTCTGATTGGTTTTATCACTTGATTTACGATACATGTAAAGTAGACTTGCTACATGTTTCTTCCAAATTTTCTTTCAATTTTACCCCTTTAACAATTTTACGGCTATAACTAATATATTTCAATTATACTGACACCTGCCTTTCTCCGAGGGCAATCAGAATACTGGCAGTTTTCGGTAAACTTATAAATTAGTGAGAAAGAAAGAAAATTAAGGAAATAGTAGCAAGTCTACTGGTAAAGCTATTCACTTTCTAAAGCATTTATGAAAATATTTATATAGGCCACTGGGATATCGCGAATTCAAAACTGCGTGAAATTAGATTGTGTTAATAAATCGCGAAAAAAAGACGGCGCGAAAATTTCCCGGTTTTCAGTATATTAATGTTGGAGAAATGTTATCTATTTCTATGGAGTACTATCTATATCAATTGAAAGTAAAACTGTCACAGTACTTTTCATGGTATAATTCATTTTCGCTAGCCAATGGTTACGATCCAGTCCCCTCCTCTCCACCCTTGGCAGATTAAGCCAACATTTGTGATTACAATGCCTCACCATCTTCCGTAGATAAAAGTCACGCCCATTCCAACTACATCATTCTTGACCAATGGTAGCTCTTGAACTCTCTTCTGTGTGGAGGTGTAAAAAAGGTCTAGTGTTTACAAATTTCGTGAAGCAGAAACCATAAACATGCGTTTACATTCCAACATTTTCGCGAGAAATATACACAGGAACTCCAATTAGTTCATTAAAATTGTCACTAAATATCGTCCTATGATTTGGGGGAAAAGACTTGTTGCACAACAGCACGTGGCAATTATTTATTTACATTTTCTACATTTACACGTGATCATCTTAAAGGCGCTTTTTGATTGGATGCAGCCAGCTACAACTGTGACCAATGGGATTCATTACCTCGTGGATCCAATATTCTATCTTTATCCGCCAAGGATGGAGAGGAGAGGACTGGATCGTAACCCTTTGCTAGCGAAGATGGGTATAATTTATTTTGTGAAATTGAACAATGATGTCTTATATTTTTCCAGCCGCTTTCAAAAATAACCTTTTGGTTAGCTTTTCTAATGCTTGAACTGAGGGTCTGGACTGGGGATCTTCATTTCTACATTCTTTAATTTTTAGGGCATTTTTCTCTATTAATATTTTGGTCCATTATTCTTTATTAATTATATTTTAACATCCTATTATTCACTGTTCTTTATTTTTTGTTCATTATTCTCAGTTCATAATATTTTTTTACCAGTTATTCTCTAATATTTATATTTTAACATCCTTTTATTTCCTATTCTGTAGACCCAATCCAGACACATTTATTTCAGTTATGATATGCTAAATGGAGAAATCCTAGGGGAAAATACCAAGTCAAATCATATTTCTTATTGGTTGATTTTTTTTTCACCTGTGACGAAAGTCACAGAAACGAAACATAGGGATTGCTTTTCCTTCGGCGACGGCTCCATCATCAACAATTGTTCAAGTTTTCTGCTTATGTTAGTTTGATAAGAACTACTTGTGATAGATCATTTATATTTAATATAAAGTTACATTACTATCAGTACATATCAGTTTAACGGCTATTTTGAGGCCCTGCCTCCTAAGACATGGTCCAGTGACTTTGAATTAATTAGAAATTTTCAATGTTAATTTTTCTGCTTAAGTTATTTTGATAGGATCTATTTGTGATAGATCAATGATATTTTGTATGAAGTTGCATTACTATCAGTAAATATCAGTTTGACGACTATTTTGAGGCCTGCCCCCTAGGACATGGTCCAGTGACTTTGAATTAATTAGCAATTTTCAATGTTAAGTTTTTCTGCTCAAGTCAGTTTGATAAGAACTACTTGAGATAGATCAATGATATTTTGTATGAAGTTTCATTATTATCAGTACATATCAGTTTGACAACTATTTTAAGGCTCTGCACCCTAGGACATGGTCCAGTGACTTTGAATTAATTAGCAATTTTCAATGTTAAGTTTTTCTGCTTAAGTTAATTTGATAAGAACTCCTTGTCATAGATCAATGATATTTTGTATGAAGTTCCATTACTATCAGTATATATCAGTTTGATGACTATTTTAAGGCCCTGCCCCCTAGGTCATGGTCCAGTGACTTTGAATTAATTAGCAGTTTTTCTGCTTAAGTTAGTTTGATAAGAACTACTTGTCATAGATCAATGATATTTTCTATAAAGTTACATTACTGTCTGTACATATCAGTTTGTTGACCATTTTTAGGCCCTGCCCACTAGATCATGGTCCAGTGACTGAATTAATAAGCAATGTTGCTGTCCTTCAGATTGTCTTTTTCTGAATTTTATGCCAATAGGCAAGACATATCTCTGTGTCAACAGTTTATTGTAGGAAACGATTTTATTTAATGCTGTAAAAATGATTGTAATTAAATAAATGCTAGGAAAATGTTTTCTTAAGCAGAGTTCTAGAAAAATGTCTTTCTTTAACAGAGTGCTAGAAAGAGTTGATTTTGACAGAAGATTTGAACAACTACCACAGTTTGTTCCAGAAAGTACAGATATGTCCTCTCCATTACCGCAGAGTCCCAGGGGTATAATTAGTAACTACAGGAAGAGGGGCAGAAAGGTGTCATCTCTAGGTAGGTCTATATCACCATAAGAGGGACAGAAAGGTGTCATCTCTAGGTAGGTCTCTATCACCACAAGAGGGGCAGAAAGGTGTAATCTCTAGGTAGGTCTATATCACTACAAAGTCCCAGGGGTATCATCAGTAACTACAGGAAGAGGGACAGAAAGGTGTCATCTCTAGGTAGGTTTATATCACTACAAAGTCCCAGGGGTATCATTAGTAACTACAGGAAGAGGGGCAGAAAGGTGTAATCTCTAGGTAGGTCTATATCATCACAAAGTCCCAGGGGTATCATTAGTAACTACAGGAAGAGGGACAGAAAGGTGTCATCTCTAGGTAGGTCTATATCACCATTAGAGGGGCAGAAAGGTGTCATCTCTTGGTAGGTCTATATCACCATAAGAGGGGCAGAAAGGTGTCATCTCTAGGTAGGTCTAAATCACCATAAGAGGGGCAGAAAGGTGTCATAGATATAAGAAGATGTGGTATGAGTGCCAATGAGACAACTCTCCATCCAAGTAAAAATTTATAAAAGTAAAACCATTATATTTCACAGTACGGTCATCTCTAGGTAGGTCTATATCACCATAAGAGGGGCAGAAAGGTGTCATCTCTAGGTAGGTCTATATCACCATAAGAGGGGCAGAAAGGTGTCATCTCTAGGTAGGTCTATATCACCATTAGAGGGGCAGAAAGGTGTCATCTCTAGGCAGGTCTCTTTCATCACAAGAGGGGCAGAAAGGTGTAATCTCTAGGTAGGTCTATATCACTACAAAGTCTCAGGGGTATCATCAGTAACTACAAGAAGAGGGACAGAAAGGTGTCATCTCTAGGTAGGTTTATATCACTACAAAGTCCCAGGGGTATCATTAGTAACTACAGGAAGAGGGGCAGAAAGGTGTAATCTCTAGGTAGGTCTATATCATCACAAAGTCCCAGGGGTATCATTAGTAACTACAGGAAGAGGGACAGAAAGGTGTCATCTCTAGGTAGGTCTATATCACCATTAGAAGGGGCAGAAAGGTGTCATCTCTTGGTAGGTCTATATCACCATAAGAGGGGCAGAAAGGTGTCATCTCTAGGGAGGTCTATATCACCATAAGAGAGACAGAAAGGTGTCATCTCTAGGGAGGTCTATATCACCACAAGAGGGGCAAAAAGGTGTCATCTCTAGGGAGGTCTATATCACCACAAAGGGGCAGAAAGGTGTCATCTCTAGGGAGGTCTATATCACCACAAGAGGGGCAGAAAGGTGTCATCTCTAGGGAGGTCTATATCACCACAAGAGGGGCAGAAAGGTGTCATCTCTAGGTAGGTCTATATCACCACAAGAGGGGCAGAAAGGTGTCATCTCTAGGTAGGTCTATATCACTACAAAGTCCCAGGGGTATCATTAGTAACTACAGGAAGAGGGACAGAAAGGTGTCATCTCTAGGTAGGTCTATATCACCACAAGAGGAACAGAAAGGTGTCATCTCTAGGTAGGTCTATATCACCACAAGAGGGGCAGAAAGGTGTCATCTCTAGGTAGGTCTATATCACCATAAAAGGGACAGAAAGGTGTCATCTCTAGGGAGGTCTATATCACCACAAGAGGGGCAGAAAGGTGTCATCTCTAGGTAGGTCTATATCACCACAAGAGGGGCAGAAAGGTGTCATCTCTAGGTAGGTCTATATCACCATTAGAGGGGCAGAAAGGTGTCATCTCTAGGTAGGTCTATATCACCATAAGAGGGACAGAAAGGTGTCATCTCTAGGTAGGTCTATATCACCACCCAGGGATATAGTTAGTAACAAACAGTAAAAGTCCTACAGTTATAATTAATAGCTACAAAAATGGTCAGAAATGTGTTATCTTGAGGTAGATCTGCATTATCAAAAAGTCTGACATCTGTAATAAGTGAGTTGATTCTTTATAGATCTTCATATCACAAAATCATAAGGCTATAATTAGGCAGAAAGATATCCTCCTGATGTAGATCTACATTATAAAAGTTATGTGGCTACTTTTATATAGTCATCTCTAGATAGGCTTCCATGTCCTGGTGCTATAATTTCCAGATTATATACATTACTATTTATATGTTTGACAGACAGTTGATGCTTGTAACAATATTTAGCAAAGAAAAAAACAAGATTTGGGTTATGATTTGGTTATATTCATTAACAGAAGTACTAAGGGCTTTTCCATAAAAACACATACATAGGACCCAGGGACGGCACTTTGAAATCTCAACTATGGGTTGGTGTCAAATGATTAATAATGCTGTGAAAATTTAAATGTAATTGTAATTCTAAGAGAATTATTGTGAACATCTTTTACATCATAGAAAATGAAATGGATGTACATATATCAAATAAACATGGCATGCCTATAAAGTGCTGACATGAGGAAATGACTATATATTTTGGAGGGGCTGCATTGTTGTATTTAACCTTTCAGAAGTCCTAACAGAGCATGCTCCCAAGTTAGTTCTAACGTATTTATATTATTCAGAAGTATGTATTTTTAATCTATTTATTTTAGCTTCAGGTGAACTGACTCCCAAAGATATAGAATTGTATGAAGGACAATCTCCAAGTTACAAGAAAGTGTCCAGTGAGTCAGAAGGAACACCAATGGGAACTCCATTAGGAACACCTTTAGGAACACCTATGGGAACACCTTTAGGGACACCAATGGGAACACCGTTAGGGACACCTCGCACACCGATGACAGGAACGCCTAGAAGTGCTAGATTTAATGATGATAATATGTTCTTTGGTAAAAGTTTCAACCTGGAAACTTTGGCAGATACTGCAGTTTTGACCAAACCTGGTAAGAACTATTTTGATTAGTCCGTCTGTAACATAGAACATTGACCAAACCTGGTAAGAACTATTTTGATTGGTCTGTCTGTAACATAGAACATTGACCAAACCTGGTAAGAACTATTTTGATTAGTCAGTCTGTAACATAGAACATTGAGCAAACCTGATAAGAACTATTTTGATTGGTCAGTCTGTAACATAGAACATTGACCAAACCTGGTAAGAACTATTTTGATTAGTCCGTCTGTAACATAGAACATTGACCAAACCTGATAAGAACTATTTTGATTGGTCTGTCTGTAACATAGAACATTGACCAAACCTGGTAAGAACTATTTTGATTGGTCAGTCGGTAACATAGAACATTGAGCAAACCTGATAAGAACTATTTTGATTGGTCTGTCTGTAACATAGAACATTGACCAAACCTGGTAAGAACTATTTTGATTGGTCAGTCTGTAACATAGAACATTGAGCAAACCTGATAAGAACTATTTTGATTAGTCTGTCTGTAACATAGAACATTGACCAAACCTGGTAAGAACTATTTTGATTGGTCAGTCTGTAACATAGAACATTGACCAAACCTGATAAGAACTATTTTGATTAGTCTGTCTGTAACATAGAACATTGACCAAACCTGGAAAGAACTATTTTGATTGGTCAGTCTGTAACATAGAACATTGACCAAACCTGATAAGAACTATTTTGATTAGTCCGTCTGTAACATAGAACATTGACCAAACCTGGTAAGAACTATTTTGATTGGTCAGTCTGTAACATAGAACATTGACCAAACCTGGTAAGAACTATTTTGATTGGTCTGTCAGTAAAATAGAACATTGACCAAATCTGGTAAGAACTATTTTGATTAGTCTGTCTGTAACATAGAACATTGACCAAACCTGATAAGAACTATTTTGATTAGTCTGTCTGTAACATAGAACATTGATCAAACCTGGTAGGAACTATTTTGATTAGTCTGTCTGTAACATAGAACATTGATCAAACCTGGTAAGAACTATTTTGATTGGTCTGTCTGTAACATAGAACATTGATCAAACCTGGTAAGAACTATTTTGATTAGTCCGTCTGTAACATAGAACATTGACCAAACCTGGTAAGAACTATTTTGATAAGTCCGTCTGTAACATAGAACATTGATCAAACCTGGTAAGAACTATTTTGATTGGTCCGTCTGTAACATAGAACATTGACCAAACCTGATAAGAACTATTTTGATTAGTCTGTCTGTAACATAGAACATTGATCAAACCTGGTAGGAACTATTTTGATTAGTCTGTCTGTAACATAGAACATTGACCAAACCTGGAAAGAACTATTTTGATTGGTCAGTCTGTAACATAGAACATTGATCAAACCTGATAAGAACTATTTTGATTAGTCTGACTGTAACATAGAACATTGACCAAACCTGGTAAGAACTATTTTGATTGGTCCGTCTGTAACATAGAACATTGACCAAACCTGATAAGAACTATTTTGATTAGTCTGTCTGTAACATAGAACATTGACCAAACCTGATAAGAACTATTTTGATTAGTCTGTCTGTAACATAGAACATTGACCAAACCTGATAAGAACTATTTTGATTAGTCATTTTGTAACATAGAACATTGACCAAACCTGGTAAACTATTTTGATTGGTCTGTCTGTAACATAGAACATTGATCAAACGTAACATAGAACATTGATCAAACCTGGTAAGAACTATTTTGATTGGTCTGTCTGTAACATAGAACATTGACCAAACCTGATAAGAACTATTTTGATTGGTCTGTCTGTAACATAGAACATTGATCAAACCTGGTAAGAACTATTTTGATTAGTCTGTCTGTAACATAGAACATTGATCAAACCGGGTAAGAACTATTTTGATTGGTCTGTCTGTAACATAGAACATTGATCAAACCTGGTAAGAACTATTTTGATTGGTCCGTCTGTAACATAGAACATTGACCAAACCTGATAAGAACTATTTTGATTAGTCTGTCTGTAACATAGAACATTGATCAAACCTGGTAGGAACTATTTTGATTAGTCTGTCTGTAACATAGAACATTGACCAAACCTGGAAAGAACTATTTTGATTGGTCAGTCTGTAACATAGAACATTGATCAAACCTGATAAGAACTATTTTGATTAGTCTGACTGTAACATAGAACATTGACCAAACCTGGTAAGAACTATTTTGATTGGTCCGTCTGTAACATAGAACATTGACCAAACCTGATAAGAACTATTTTGATTAGTCTGTCTGTAACATAGAACATTGACCAAACCTGATAAGAACTATTTTGATTAGTCATTTTGTAACATAGAACATTGACCAAACCTGGTAAACTATTTTGATTGGTCTGTCTGTAACATAGAACATTGATCAAACGTAACATAGAACATTGATCAAACCTGGTAAGAACTATTTTGATTGGTCTGTCTGTAACATAGAACATTGACCAAACCTGATAAGAACTATTTTGATTGGTCTGTCTGTAACATAGAACATTGATCAAACCTGGTAAGAACTATTTTGATTAGTCTGTCTGTAACATAGAACATTGATCAAACCGGGTAAGAACTATTTTGATTGGTCTGTCTGTAACATAGAACATTGATCAAACCGGGTAAGAACTATTTTGATTGGTCTGTCTGTAACATAGAACATTGATCAAACCGGGTAAGAACTATTTTGATTAGTCTGTCTGTAACATAGAACATTGATCAAACCTGATAAGAACTATTTTGATTAGTCTGTCTGTAACATAGAACATTGACCAAACCTGGTAAGAACTATTTTGATTAGTCTGTCTGTAACATAGAACATTGATCAAACCGGGTAAGAACTATTTTGATTGGTCTGTCTGTAACATAGAACATTGATCAAACCTGGTAAGAACTATTTTGATTGGTCTGTATGTAACATAGAACAGGTATAGATTCTTTGCTGTTATAAACAGATACTGCAGTCTTGATCAAACCTGGAAAGAACTATTTTGACTGGTCTGTATGTAACATAGAACTGGTATAGATTCTTTGCTGTTATAAACAGATACAGGGGTTTTGATACAATTAGGAAGAGAGTATAAAAACTAAGGCATTTATTGTAGTCTTGACTTAATATCAGTTGTTTGATTGATTGATATCTGGTAGATTTGAATGATGTCCTTACTGATGCCAGGTAGATATGAGAATGTCCTTACTGATGCCAAGTAGATTTGAGAAAATGTCCTTACTGATGCCAGGTAGATTTGAGAAAATGTTCTTACTGATGCCAGGTAGATTTGAAAAAAAATCCGTACTGATGCCAAGTAAATTTGAGAAAGTCCTTACTGATGCCAGGTAGATTTGAGAAAGTCCTTACTGATGCCAGGTAGATTTGAGAATGTCCTTACTGATGCTAAGTAGATTTGAGAAAGTCCTTACTGATGCCAAGAAGATTTGAGAATGTCCTTAAAAAAACAAGGACTTTTTATTCCAGTGACTGAATGTCTGCTGATATTTTTCTGATTACCTTTTACATTTTTTGAAAAAAAGATTGGATTTTTACTGGCACTTTTTTTTATTACATTGTACCTCTTACAACATGGAACAGATTGGATTAGACCCATAGATGCCAACCATTATGATTTACCCATAATTGCTACGAATTTTGGACCAAAATTGCAGTGTTACGATTAACAGTGTGCTTGTTATGGATTTTAGTTCATTACCCTTTCAGAACAGTTCCCTGGTTAGATATTGTTTTGATCAATGTGATGCCTTATTTTAGGTTATAATTTTGTAACAATAAGCCCTTTCATGATTCAGATTATTAAATTCTTTCGGGTTTCTCTGGACTATAGTAGAAAGCAATCTATTTCTTGTTCGATTCCGAATAATTAATGAACCCGGCAGGTATGATGTCTGATGGAACAATTGAATTTCTGCAATAAGAAAAGAAAACTTGGACAACGAAATTGAAAACTGGAGCATTATGCCTTTTGCAAATATTTTGTGAACAAGACTTCCATTCAGCATGATGGTCGGTTTTCCTCATGTGCTCATCAACTTTGAATCATAGTTGTCATAAATAAAGAAAGGAAGTCTTTTATTTGTCACTGTGTGCCTAGTTGTTAGTATGATTATTATAAAATTTAATAAAAAAAATATTATTACTAAAAAGAGTCATCAATTACGGAAATCTTAATACTTTTTATGCCCCCACTATAGTAGAGGGGGCATTAAGTTTTACTCTTGTCCGTCTGTAAGTCTGTCCTTATGTCCCAAAGTTGGTTTCCGTTCTCTTACTTTAGTTTGCCTCAACCAAATGTTATGAATCTTATATGCAATGCTTATAACCAGAAAACACAGATCAAGTTTGAATTTCAGTGGCTTCACATTTACTGTTATGTCCTTTTATAATGCTATATGCAAGCGGGGGCATAATCAATCTGTGTCCTACGGACACATTCCCCATTCATTTACTGATTGCAACAAAAGAGGGTTGGCATCTATGCATGATGTCTATCAGCAGTTTTACTGATAACTTTTTACAATAACCAACTCTATTATAGAAAAGAGTTAAATGTTTCATCTCGACTGATTTTTACATCGTATGACCATGAGGGCATTCCGGTGTATTGTTGCCACAGACATCACAGACATTTCTACCCACGTGACTTTCGTTTTTGACTGATAACCGAACGCAAAATAACATTCCTTATCGCTTGTTATATATCAATTTCATCAATAAATATTCATGAAAATAATTTTTAAGAACATAAATAAATGATATGAAAATGTTTTGTCGTGAGAAATATATATATCAATAAAAAATCAAGAATACAGAAAATTTGTGTTAACGCATGCAGAAGAATATCTCAAGAACGTTTTGCGAGAAAATATGAATGCCTACTCAAATCCAATCTGTTAGAAAAATCGAATTATTACAGAAGAGTGTCCACCATGCACTTGCACTGCACTATTATTAGAACAGAAGAATAGAATGATATACAAATGGATGAAAATTATATATACATGTATACAAATATTAATATAATATATAACAACAAACCAGTGTATACTGATTTGTATCACTACAATATAATAGTAATTACAATGAGGTTGAATTCCCTGTCATTTATTCATCATCCACGCACTAACTTGTCTCTGAAAAAAATATATCTATGTACCTTAACCTAACTTTCAGGTACAGAGATATGATTTTTTTTTCTGAGACAAGTGCTTGTGACCATCCACAAGAACTTGTGGTCATCCGATGTTCAGTACTTCGGTATTTTGATTATTGTATGTTTTTCAACACACCCTTAGCTCACTGATTCAGATTAAGGGCCAAACAAGGACTTGGAATTTGGATGTTGGTATTGGCCTTTTCTCTGCTAAGCATTTAAAAGTAAGAACGAACATTGGTTATTTAGGAGTTAGAATAATGTGTCAGTAGGCTGACATGTCTTCCTGAAATTGGTTATTGAGGAGTTAGAATACTTTGTCCAGGTAGGGTGACATGTCTTCCTGAAAACTACTATCTCGTGAACTGAGACATTTAAAAATCCAGCTCAGCATGTCTGTCTTGAACAAAACAGGATCCATGTTTATATCACATGTGCATGTTTACTGATAAGCATGTAATACTCGCCACTGGACATTAAACATTGATCAATCCTTTGATTGATGAAATAAGCTTACTTTGTCTATGTCAATCATGTTCGTACTACAACACAGTCGTAATCAGTTTGATTTTCATTTTGACACCACATTACTGTTTATTTATATAATATATATGTGATGGTAAACTGTTTATTTATATGTGTGATGGTAAACTGTTTATTTATATAATATATATGTGATGGTAAACTGTTTATTTATATAATATATATATATGATGGTAAACTGTTTATTTATATAATATATATATGATGGTAAACTGTTTATTTATATAATATATATATGATGGTAAACTGTTTATTTATATAATATATATATATGATGGTAAACTGTTTATTTATATAATATATATATGATGGTAAACTGTTTATTTATATAATATATATATGATGGTAAACTGTTTATTTATATAATATATATATATGATGGTAAACTGTTTATTTATATAATATATATATATGATGGTAAACTGTTTATTTATATAATAGATATGTGATGGTAAACTGTTTTTTTATATAATAGATATGTGATGGTAAACTGTTTTTTTATATAATAGATATGTGATGATAAACTGTTTATTTATATAATATATATGTGATGGTAAACTGTTTATTTATATAATATATATGTGATGGTAAACTGTTTATTTATATAATATATATATATATGATGGTAAACTGTTTATTTATATAATATATATGTGATGGTAAACTGTTTATTTATATAATATATATGTGATGGTAAACTGTTTATTTATATAATATATATATATGATGGTAAACTGTTTATTTATATAATATATATGTGATGGTATATTTATTTGTTACAGATGAGTTTGGTGATGGTAGTTTAGGTTCACCAAGGACACCTAAGACACCAAGTTCTCCAGGACAGTTTTCCTCGTTGAGAAGAATTCTGGATCAGAGAAGACAGCTTGTTATGCAACTGTTTGAGGAATATGGACTGTTTCCCTCAGGTTTGTATCTCTTTCTGTCTAGTAAGGGAGACAACTTGTTATGCAACTGTTTGAGGAATAAGGACTGTTTCCCTCAGGTTTTGTATATCTTTCTGTTGATTAGGGATACAATACTATAATGTAACATAAATGTATGATATAAGATACAAGTTATGTTGATATGAATATTTTAAGAATTGTTTTTTTGTAAGAAAATATAATCACTTGTAAAAGTGACAACACATTCTGCCAAATTCAGAAAAAAAATCTGCCAGTAAACATTTCTACCTTACTGACTAATTACTTTTAAGTACAAGGACAACTTAATCATAATGTAATATAATTATTGTCTTTTGGAATAAGTATTTTAAGGATGTTATTTCTTTATAGCACAAGCAACAGCCTCATTTCAAGCAGAGCATGCAAGTATATTCCCGACCAAAACTTGTCTACAGTTAAAGATACGAGAAGTGAGACAAAAAATGATGGCTCAATCAGCAGCAGTAGAGAGGGCAGCTACAGGGGAGGATTCTAATTCAATAGGAAGTACTGGCAGCAATCAAGGCGGAGATAACTCGGGACAGGGTCAGTCAGAATGATGTTGAGAAAGATAACTCTGGGCAGGCCCAGTCAGAATGATGGCAGCATTTTTGGAGAGAATTCAAAGAGGCAGGTCCTTTTTGGAATGAAATGTATTTTAATTTTAAAATATAATATTTGTTACTTTAGATTTTAGTTGTTGTAAGTTGTGTATAAAGATAAGAACACTTGTAAATATGTACATAGTTGCAGAACAAACAGTATATATATTCTGTCTTGTAAATGAAAAGCAATGATTATTCTTGGGTACTAACTTTATTTAAATATCAGACTTATGTTACAACGTTCACATATAAATCTCAGACTTATGTTACAACGTTCACATATAAATCTCAGACTTATATTACAACGTTCACATATAAATCTCAGACTTATGTTACAACGTTCACATATAAATCTCAGACTTATGTTACAACGTTCACATATAAATCTCAGACTTATGTTACAACGTTCACATATAAATCTCAGACTTATGTTACAACGTTCACATATAAATCTCAGACTTATGTTACAATGTTCACATATAAATCTAAGACTTATGTTACAACGTTCACATATAAATCTAAGACTTATGTTACAATGTTCACATATAAATCTCAGACTATGCTAGAATGGTTGCTGAAATCTTCACGGTTTATGATTATGGAGTTGTATTGAGTTTGAGGTATTCAAGACAAAATGGCTGATATAGTTAATAATGCAATGATTTGAACAAATATTTGGTTGAAAGTAATTTAATGACTAAGTTATTTAGGCTAATAAAACTTAAAGTTTTTATTTGAATTGCTAGATTTATAATCAAGAAGTGAAAAAAAAAGTTGATTTTGAATCAAATTTATTTATCGTATGGATCTTTTCTCTGTACTTATTTGCCTAAGAAATTATTATACCAATCTACAAGAGGTGGGGATAATGTTTTGCAGTCTCATTCATCTGTTTAATAGTCTGTCTGTTTATCTACCACATACCCGACAAAAGTCGTGCAAAGTGAGACCTAGGGATTGCTTTTCTGGCGACGGTGTCAACAACTGTTAAGTTTTCTCCTTAAGTCAGTTTGATAGGATCTACTTGTGATAGATCAATGATATTTTGTATAAAGTTGCATTACTATCAGTATATATCCGTTTGACAACTATTTTGAGGCCGTGCCCCCTACGGCATGGTCCAGTGAATTTGAATTAATAAGCAAATTTTCAATGCTAAGTTTTCTGCTTAAGTTAGTTTGATAGGATTTACTTTTCATAGATCAATGATATTTTGTATGAAGTCCCATTACTATCAGTTTGACGACAATTTTGAGGCCCTGCCCCCTTGGACATGGTCCAGTGACTTTGAATTAATTAGCAATTTTCAATGTTAAGTTTTCTGCTTAAGTTATTTTGATAGGATCTTCTTGTCATAGATCAATGATATTTTGTATGAAGTTGCATTACTATCAGTTCATATCAGTTTGATGACTATTATGAGGCCCTGCCCCCTAGGTTATGGTCCAGTGACTTTGAATTAATTAGCAATTTTCGATGGTAAGTTTTTCTGCTTAAGTTAGTTTGATAAGAACAACTTGTGATTGATCAATGATATTTTGTATAAAGTCACATTTCTATCAGTACATATCAGTTTGACGACTATTTTGAGGCCCTGTCCCCCAGGACATGGTCCAGTGACTTTGAATTAACTAGATATCATTGAGATGGAAGCCATCTCTGTGGGCCCCGCTGTGAATAAAGTGTGGTAAAAAATTTGTATCTTTATCATTGGACATGGGGTTGTCAACTGAAACCGAAGTTTATGACCTTTACCTTTGACCTAGGAAGTTGTACATAAATTATGACACACCCTCTGGTGTTGGTTTATATACATGTCAAGTATAAACTGTGAAATCATAACGGTTCTCAAGATGTAGAGTGGACACGATCTTTACCATAGGACATGGGGTTGTCAACTAAAACCAAAGTTTTTGACCTTGACCTTTGACCTAGGAAGTTGTACATACATTATGACACACCCTCTGGTGTTAGTTAATATACATGTCAAGTATAAACTTTGAAATCATAACGGTTCTCTAGATATAGAGCGGACACAATTTGTTACGGACAGAGGAACGGATGGACAGACTGATCACTATAGGGCGTCCGCCATTTGGCGGGGCCCTAATTAGCAATTTTCAATGACAAGTTTTAATGCTTAAGTTATATTGATAGGAACTACTTACAATAAACAACAATATTTTCTATAAAGTTACATTACTGCCTGTACACCTCAGTCTGTCGACCAGTTTCAGGCCCTGCCCACCAGATCATGGTCCAATGACTGAATTGATAAGCAATGTTGTTGTCCATCAGATTGTCTTTTCTGAATTTAATGCCGATAGGCGAGACATATCTCTGTGTCAACCGCTTATGATTAGGATAGTTTACCATTAAATTCTTGGCACATCAACTTGAAACTTAGTGTAGGCTTGTTCATTTTGATATGACCTTTTTTACATATGCAAATTTAGTGTTTTGACCCAGATATCACATTTCAATAAACATGGAAAAATGATATCCTGAGTTGTCATGGTGTCCTGTAAAATTATACACACATCAAAATAGATTGTTCATGCATTGGATGTTACTTGAAGTTGTTTTTTATTAGAGTTTCACAGCTTTCATGTTTGAATATTATTATTTAGTAAAAGGAAATATAATTAACTTATGGAAGAACAAGTGAAAAATGTCTTAATTAGAAAAAAAATATGAGATTATATTTACGGTATGAAATATTGTATTATATAACTGTTCCATCATGTTGCTTCAAGGACCCTTCATTCAAACTAGGAATTTAATTTGTTTATTCTATGTTGTTATTTACAATGGAATGATTGAGTTATAATGACTTGTAAAAATTGAATTAACTTTATGGAATTTAGTATTATACTGCTAGTTATTGAAGCAGAAACTTAAGTAGACAATTTAACCTGTCTATACAGACCACTTCTACAGTCACCTGTCTATACTGAACAATTGTTTTATTGTTGAACAAGTCTACAGTTCAGGTGGGGTGAAGAGTTGAACCATTTGCATGAAAAATGAAAGATACTTTCAAACTTAGTTTGGTTTAATTGTTTTTAACAAATGTTGAGGGGGGAGGGTGGTAAGTACATAGAAATCTACAGTCTGATAGAAATACTGTCCTTTAAGATTTTTTTGATTAATCTGATTTCAAACTTGTTTTGTGTACATATTTCTGGAGTATGTTGTATAGTGTAAAGAGATATATATATATAACATGTATAAAGTGCTTCTCCTTTTGTTACCAGTGGTATGAAATCTTCTCCCGTTTTTACCCCTGATATTTGTTATTTATAGATGATCTTTGTTTGTTATAATGATAGTTGTTGATACCTTACACTACTGCAAATGACATTGTCATCTTTAAACATAAGTTTAGCAACAGAATTAGATTGATAGCTATACAATATGTATTTTCACAAATATTCTCATGACTTATAAACATGTATTGAAATGTTTATATGGTATATATACCATCCATTATGTTTGTTCTAAAATTGTTACGAATTTTCAGTTAAAGATACAATGTTACGTTCAATAGTCAACTTGTTGCTGACTCCTGTTCATTACTGATGTGGAACAGTTTACATTTTATATTTTGTGATCCTTTTTTAAGGCTTCATTGTGGGTAATTGTCGTGTAGGGATAAGTGCTTGATTGATTCAGATTACTAAATTATTTTTTATTTCTCTTAACTATCTGCAAGAGAAAAGGATCTATCCATTTATTTTTTCTTCCAAAGTAGTTAATGAAAACGTTTTCGGATGTTTGTCATTTAATAAGTCTGTAAGTTTGTATGATTTATTTTAGATAAGTGACAAGGGGACTTTAGATTAGCAAGAAATCCTGGGCTCAGTCTTAGGATTTTAACACTTGACAAAGGTGCTGATTGGCCAGAAATTTGGGTCTACAACCAATGATAAATCTCAACAATCTTCACAAATTACTTGTTATAACTTGTATGACCTTTGTGAACACAAGACCTGGAAAATTCATTACATGTGAAGCCAGATTTTGATATTTTGAATATTTTTGGAAAAATGACAATGAAATGAAAAATTATGCTTAAGCTGCCATTTCCCTTAAATACAAATAGTGGATGTTGTAAGGTGAAAATATAATGTCAGAAATTAATGGTAATTTGTTGTTTGTATTGAAAATAAAATCATGTTGAACAAAAGGTTGTTAAGAAAATACTCAGTTTTATCATCATACTTTACACTTGGTATATTATACTGTTGTTAAACAGGAAATTTTACTTCATGAATTAATGTCAAAGTAAAATAGAAATGAGATGTGTTACAACGTTAGTCATTTGTTTTAGAATGGTTATTTTATTAACATTTTCCTGAAGTCATTTCTCTCTTTGAAAAGAAAATTATCAGACTTTTTTTGAGTGCTATATATTTTGTAAATGTAACCTGGGTCATTCAAAAATTCATGTTCAGTTTGTCTTGTACTTGATGTGAATATAAAGATTCAGGAAACTATAATAATCTAAAGTTTTGTATTTCATGATGGTTTATTGTTGGCAAGCAGAATTAAAAGACCTCTTTTATCTAAAAAATATGATCTCCCTTCTGTTTAGTGCAATATTTTGATTACTCTGTAATACAGAATGGCTTTTTAGTTGTTTGTGTTTTAGATTATCTCCCTTTAGTAAAATGAGGTACCTTCATGATAATGATATATTTTGTTTTCTTTTCTTTTTTATATTATCTCCCTTTAGTAAAATGAGATACCTTCATGATGATGATTTTTTTTTTTATATCAGAATATAATATTAAATATTTTAGATTATCCACTTTCAGTATATCCTCAGAATATGATGTTAAGATGTTTGTTTTAGGATTATCTCCGTTCAGTAAAATGAGATATCTCTTGACAGAATATAATTTTTAATTTGTCTTTTTAGATTATCTTTGTTAAGTTGAAGGTGATACCATATGCGAGGTGTGTGAGGACTTGAATTAATTTTTTGTCTTCAACAAACACATAATGATAGAATATAGTTTCTTCGTTATTTAGTTAAGACACAAAATCAATTTTGATACATATATTAACCCCCAGTTTGTGGCTTTTAAGAACTTTCACTCCGTTAAAAAGTAAAATAACAAAAATACCGAACTCCGAGGAAAATTAAAAACAGAAAGTCCCTTATCAAATGGCAAAATCAAAAGCTCAAACACATCAAATGAATGGAAAACAACTGTCATATTCCTGACTTGGTACAAGCATTTCCTTATGTAGGAAATGGTGGATTAAACCTGGTTTTACAGCTAGCTAAACCTCTCACTTGTATGACAGTTGCATAGATTTCCATTATTTTGACAACAATGTGTGAACAAAACAAACAGACATAATAGGTAAAGATTTCAAAAATTAGGGTACAGCAGTCAACATTGTGTTTTAATCTTAATCACTATAAAAACAAAGAACTATTTCAACAAAGAAAAACAAAAATGGCATATAGACACTTTATAGACATAGTACTACAGCAAAAATGAAAAGACAAGAATACAAAATTGACCATAGCACAATAACACAATGGCGGCTTCATTTGTTATATGCCCATTCAAACTTTGATAATCCTATTTTGAGGATTTTTTATTTACTTGTTGCAATATCGACCAATTTTGTTTGTTGTTATTATACTCTAATAATTTTAAACATAAATTTTTTTCCTAGCATAAATTACAAGGTATAACTGAACTTGAATTTGGTTGACCAAAGAAAATTTAAATGATGTAAATAGTGAATATATGTATCATATGTGTTGTGTACCATTCATAGTGTATATATGTATACATGATATGTGTAATGTACCATTCCTATATAATTTTTGTGAATTTGTTGTAAATATTGTAAATATTTGTTTAAAACACAGATCATCCATGTTTTGAATATACAAATAAATTTTTAAATATAACTGGATAAGATAGGATACAGTAGATTTATTCATGACATAAAATTCTTACATTTACTTGATAAACCAAAGGAACAGTGCTAATATTGCTATTCCTCATCTTAAAGTCCCAATTTGTGTTTATACTATAATGTTCCAACTTTTGAAAGTTTTAATTAAATTTATGTCATAATTCAGCCTACAAAACGATTTTAATTTACAGACTAATCCTGGTAATTAAATCAGTCTGATTGACTGAGCTCTGTAAGATAGTTCACCCAATGATTAATAAATGACAATTTTTATACACCTGTTTAACTCTTGTTTTTGACTTTTTGTCAGATAATTGGAATCCTCTATTTATCCATTTAGTGCAAATAAAAATTTTGCCCGCTAACCCCTACTTTTCTTTTCATAATTTTATAACATATAGTTTAAACAGCCATTTTTGATAATCTTATTAAATCTTTGTTATTTTCTCATAGTTTTTGAAGAAAAGAGGTGTCAATGTTAAATGTATGAAAAATCTAGAGAGAATCATTTCCTGCCAAATTTTCAATGGCTTATATCTCAAAAATAAGGACAGTGACCCTGGTATTTTTCTTGGTTTTTCTAGTCCCATTATTTATATACTATCAATTTATAACAATCATTAAAAAGCTTGTTATTTTGAAACAGAGTAGCAAACATCCTTAAAGACTTAAAAAATCTGACACATTTTCACTTTTCAAAGTTTGGTTGGCAGCATTGCTAATGTATTCCACATACATTTTTTTTAACTTGACAGAAAAGGAATTAAAAAATAGGGACCACAAAAACAACTGAAAGCTGATTGTTAATATTCCTATCAAAATTTGCTATCTTTCTTACCTCTGAAATCTCTTATTTCTGAAATCTTACTGTAGCTGGTAAGATACATGTATGTGTATCTTGCGCATCCAGTATGCATGCACTGGTTCACCAGGATTAAACTTGCATAGAACTTCATCGGTAAACAGAAATATTAATACAACATGATTTTAAATCTTAAAGAGAGTCGAAAAATAACAAAGGGACATTCAAACTCATAAGTCTAAAACAAACTTGACAGCGCCATGGCAAAAAAAAGAAAAAAAGACCAAAAGACAAACAACAGTATAAAAAACACAACATTAAAAAAATAAAGACTGAGCAACATGAACCCCACCAAAAACCAGGGGATGATCTCAGGTGCTGCAGAGGGGTGAGCAGATCCTGCTCCACATGTAAGTGCAAGTACAAACCCTAATTGTAGAATTTTAAGAGTTTTAAGAAAACGATTTTATTACAAAAATATATACAAAGTCAGCTAAGAGGGAAGATTTATGTGACAAAATATGTAACGATCTGCTTGTCAGAATCACTTCACCACCAAGCCCCTCTTTGTCATTTTAAGACATAAGTTCTTTAAATTGGATAACACAAAACATATTTTTCTCCAACATACAACCCTAGAAAAATAAAATAATAGCATAGTCTCGGCCAATAATATTGACCTTAATCCCTTTTCATAGGTATCATTTGCATCATATACATTTATTGACCTTCACTTTTCTGATATAAAAGCTGACAGAATGCTCCTCTCTTCCCATTATTAAAACAGATGAAAAAAATGGTGCTACAATTAGTTATATAAACTACATCCCTTTTTACAGAAAACATCATAATATAAATTTAAAGGCTCTCCTGTCTGATATTATAGCCAACACATTTTTTACAGTTCAAAGGTTTTATGGTGTCAATATTTAAAACATGGATGATCTTATCTGTGTCTGTGATAGAACTCTCCTTCATTAGAGGTACAAAAGTTCATGTGATCTCTCTGGAGATAATATTTGTAGATAAGTAGAATTGTTAAGCTTACATAATACATGTTATATCTTTACTTATTTGTAAAGAATAAAACAACTTAAAAATGTGTTTATTGTTTAGTTTCAAAAAGTAATTGGGCAGCATTTTCAAAACGTAATTGAGAAAGATCTGTGGTATAATCATTTTCAATGCATACAATCTGTATCCTTCTGCAAACAACTCCCCTAAAAACATACTAACAAAAACAAATTGTTGTCATTTGTGAGAACATGCAAGTCCATGTTTTTACCTGTGCCTTTTGATATACAATTGATATTTGAAAATTGTCGTATGTATTACCAGCCTTATGCCCCTGTTTGCTGATAGGGGGCACTATTATCTACATTAATACACATTACTGAGTTCCAAAATAATGTAGGAGTTTAAAAGTATTTATATTTTGGTCCCCTTAGGCCATAAAGCTCTTCACATGCTTTAGGTACTTGTACATTCTTGTCTTTAAAGTGGAAGGTTAGCTCGACTGCAATCTTAATTGACTAGGATTGTCAGTTTTCCTACCGAAGGTCGGTGTTTTTCTCTGGACAAAAAGGCTACCTCCCCCAATAAAAGCTGACTACCACGAGATAGCACAATAGTACTGAAAGTGGCATTAAACACCAATCAATCAATCAATCAACCAATCGATCTTTCAAATACTTGGCTTTGACCATTGCTGTGTAAGGTTAATCCAGAAAAGATCTTCATACACATAAAATTTATAAAGTGTCATCTTTGCCTTTTACTTGTATGACATTCGCATAGAATTCCTTTATATTGACAACAATGTGTGAGCAAAACAAACAGACATAATAGGTAAAAATGTCAAAAATTGGGGTAGCAGTCAATATTGTAATATAATCTTTATCACTATTAAAAAAAAAAACTATTGCAAGAAAGAATAAAAAATGGCATATAGACACTCTATAGAAAAAGTACATAGCAAAGATGAAAGACAAGAATACAAAATTGACTATAGCACAATAACAATGGCGGGATGTATAAGTACCTAGCCACACCAAAAGTATATTTGCCAAAAAGTGGACTAAACAGTAAAGGTTAAAAATGTACAAGGACAAATAATATAAAATGTTTAAGGAGTTGCGTCATTGTCAGAGGTAAATGCTGCTTTGCTGACAACCTGGGGCATTTTAAATGATATTGCGGAATATATATACCAACTACATAAATGTCTGTATCAGCCGAGTAGTAATCACTTCTGTGTTGACATGAATTATTATTGATTATCTTGAGTATAAATTAACTCTTTACAAAACTTTAAATTTTTCGAAATACAAAGGATTTTCTACCCAAGGAATAGATTACCTTAGCTTTTATTTGACAAAACCTTTTATGAAGTGTGGGTCTTCAATGCTCTTCAACTTCGTACTTTATTTGGCCATTTAAACTTCTTTTATTCGAGCGTCACTGACGAGTCTTTTGTAGACGAAACGCGCTGACGTACACAATTTTAATACTGATCTCTATGATGAGTTTATGTAACACCTTGATAGCAAATATTTTGGTCTTCTTGGAGCACCTTTATATAAATAATACATAACTGAGAGGGTGATAGAGTAGATTGTTACCACGAGAAAACATTGTCAACCGAGGCGAAGCCAAGGTTGACAATATTTTTTCGAGGGGTACCAATCTGCTGTATCACTCTCTCAGCTATGTTTTAGTTGATTTATTATAGTGCATGTTCTATCATTATTGCAAGTACTTAGCTATGACGTCATGTACATTACAACGCTACAGTTATTAGGAAAAAAAAAGTGAACGAAGGTTCAATTCACTGTCCTTTAAATTATCGACTTTGATTGGTCTGCACGAGAGGGCGACATTCAAACAATTGTACCCCACTGTGCCATGGGATAGAGTAAATTATCTCCCTCGTATCAGCCAATCAGAACCTGCATTTTAACGTGAAGTATAATAAAAAAAATTATCAAAAAGTTTTGCTTATAATGTCCCAATCATAATGAAACCATAAAAAACCCTAATGGTGATTCATTATCTTCGTTAAAACTACCAAATCTACACAAAATCAGGTAGTTCTGATTTTTCTTTTCGAAATGTATCATTAGTGAATTTAATAACAGTGGCGTACTATATTAAAGGGACATTCAAAACTCGTAAGTCGAAGACAAACAGACATTCCTTTATCAAAAAACGAAAAAGACGAACAAAATTCTACACAACGCAACATAAAAACTAAAGTAACTATTGTTGACAGTGGTATCCTTTTTGAACACAAATTTCACATGCAAATTCTCATTTCCAAGGTAGCCAGTAGGAGATCTATGCAATGATATTGTAGTGATGGTTAGTGAGGGGCGTGGTTTTTTGAAACAAGAGTGAAGAAAAAAATGTGTTTTTTGTAACAAATTCATATATGGACTTGTATTTTTGGTGTTTATGCGATTCCCTCAGTTTTTGTTACCTTGATTGGTCTCTGTTAAATCGTTTTATGAGATTTGAACATAGGTATGCTTCTGTCTCCTTAATTCAATACTGGAGATATCGAATTCGTTTTTAATATATATTCGATATTTGCCAATTTTATATTTGACACGAAATTACCGCCTACAAGAACGGAAGGATGTTTAGATTGCATACGTTATCACATCCTTGGACATTACTATATCGCGCGAATTTCAAGGTTAATAGTTTACAATTTGAGACCCCTTGCAATTTCTGTGAACGATTGAGCTGGTTCTCGCATAAATTGCATTTGGTGATGATATCCGGAGTTGCAAGGTTCCAATATTCCATAGTGATCGGTGGGAAGAACAATTTCGAGATGCCTGTCTTGTCTGGAATTCTGAGACAGTGTTGGCTATGCATGTTTTTTGTAATCGCTGAAGATTTTATATTGGTATTTCGGCAAGATAGTGTATGCTTTTACAAAATCAAATCAGTTAGTTTTATGTTTACCTATCTCTCAAGGATCTTATTTTAGTCTGGTTTAGGATTGAAGTCATACTACCCGGTTCGTTACAGAAGTTAGATGTGACGAAACTTGCTAATTTCTAGTTAGTCCTGTAAATATATTTACTGAGGGTCTAATGCCATGCTTGCACATTCAGGGACCAGTCAAATTAGTCTTAATGTGCTTGTTTACTTGACTCCATATAGGGCACGATGACATGATAATTTCGTTTTAACTATCCAGGTGTCCAATAAGATTTGTTACATGTATCCTCAATGTGATTTCCCAATGTATATTTTTAAAATACTCATGCCCACCGGCAGATATTTTATTAGTTTTAAGAAAGTTAGTTCTGTGTCTTCAATAAATGCTTTAATTATGTGGTCAACATTTGCGAATTAAGTCTTCATGTTTCATTTGACTGCTGTTTAAAACGCATTCCTAAAAATAAGCCCATGTACCGAAAGGGTCCGTATTTTTGTAGCTCAAACAGTATGTGTTGTCTAGTTCAATATAGCTCAAGCAGTCGTCTGCAAATAACACCGTATTATTCGCTATGTGTGAAATATGGATGAAGAACAGGATTGACCCAATGACTGTTAACTGAGGGACTCCTGAAAGTACAGCCGAATTCTAAGTTTTACTCCCATTCACAACTATGCATTGTGTCCTGTTGGACAGGAAGGGGTCGATCCAGTTCATGATGGTTTTTGGTACACTGTATCTGTGGAGTTGCTTTTCAGTTACCGATGGTACTTGACCGATCATTTATGACATTTACAAGTTTAATTACGCAGCCATCACGTTTCCTGAAGGTAATATTCCATATTGTACATTGCTGAATAAGTGTCTCGGCATAAATTAAACTCTGTTTCTGTCACTTTGTTTTCTTTGGTTAATAGATATGGAATTCCTTAAGCTTGTTGGTCAGACTTTTGGTTGTTTATGCATTTCCAAAATATTTTAGAGTTCTTTTTTATATCCCCTATAAGGTTGTTAGCATAGGCATATACAAATAAGAAGATGTGGTATGATTGGCAATGAGACAACTCTCCACAAGAGACAAAATGACATAGAAATTAACAACTATATGTCACCATACCGTCTTCAACAATGAGCAAAACCCATACCAAATAGTCAGCTATAAAATGCCCCGAAATGACAAATGTAAAACATTTCAAACGAGAAAACTGACGGCTTGATTTATGTCCAAAATAATGAACGAAAAACAATTATGATAGACAAATGACAACCACTGAACTACAGACTTCTGATTTAGGACAGGCACATACAGAATGTGGCGGGGTTAAACTAGTTTGAAGGCGCCAACCCTCCCCTAATCTGGGACAGTGGTGTAACAGTACAACACAAGAAAAAACTATCAAAATCAATTGAAAAAGGCTTAACTCATATCGATACAAAGCAGAAATACATCTTACAAAAACACAGACCGGACGTGGCAGGGTACTTATACATACCCACAACAAAAAAACACTAAGTACAGATCTAAGAGTACTCGCATTTGCTGACAGCTAGTTCAAAGCCAATAACAACTAATAAAACAATCATGCATTTAAGACTAAAATATTAATGAGTACACATCCAACATCCAATGGAGCCACAGTTACTTCCTTGTTAACCAATCGCCTAGTTTCCCGTTTTGATTTTATCTACTGCTGTTTGTCTTTTTAAAGTTTGCATGTGTTCTTTTACATGTTCTAATCAGGGTCTAAATATTGTTATTAGTTGATGGTATACGTAGTGACTTTACCTTTTGATGTTTGTATTTGTACGTTCTTCCCAGATGATTCCAAGATTAAGGTTTTAATCATTTTCCAAGTATCCGCTACACGTGAGAACCTGAGATCACCCCGGTTTTTGTTGGGGTTAGTGCTGCTCAGTCTTTGGTTTTCTATGTTGTGTTTTGTATACTCTTTGTCTTTTGGTCTTTTTTTTGTTTTGCCATGGCGTATATATGTTGTGTTGATGACCATCGAATTTGCCATTGATGACATTTGTATTGTCGTCCCTCATTTGACTATAGTCCCTTGGAAAATTGATAGTATGTTTTTTCGATTTCCTCACCGCTGTACCTTTAAGTGTGTCCAAAACTATGTCGGGGTAGCTAAAGGGTTGT